GAGTTATAGCCATTTATATATAAGTAATTGTTGAGGAATATTAGAAATTCTTAGGAGCCATCGTTTACGGTCGTAATTGTGAATTTTTCATTGGAGTTAAACATGGGCTTGATCATGTTCAAGTATGCTGGTGGAGTGATTGATTTTGAATCGCAACTAAATTGTTGGCCATTTCATATTGCTGGAAGATATTTGTACCACTTCGAATCACACCAGTCATACTTCAGCTGTTTGTATGTCTAGTAATTAAGTTTAAAAATCGCCCTTGAATTTTCGTAGAATGTATCCATGTCAATTTTAGATTCGTGCATTTCTTTAAAGAAAGAAATAAAAAATTGGATTGCTTTAGTATCTGTTATATCTCCTTTACCACTCAGAGGTGTGGGTGTGGATGTTTAGCAAGGAGAAAATTGATGTACAAACTAACGCAACACCCACACGCACACCCGATGACTACCAATTTTTAAAGAAAAGGAGAAACGTTTAAAACCTTCTCACATCACAATTAGCACTAATTCTAACGATATATTTTTCTTATTTTAAGAATAAATAATAACGAGAAGACTTTGGGTACTTAATCTGCATTCGGAAAAACCACTAATAGCCTGGACAAGCCTCATAAATGTATTTCCAAAACAATGCCTCTGACCTATAAACAATTTTCTTAACTATAATGTATGTTTCAGAGGTATTTCCACCAATTTGTAGGGATAAGATAGCTTTTCCCGAGAGAAACGCATGTGTGTGCGTGGTTGCTCATCAAATTAGACGTAGATAACATTTAAGAGGGATCGGAATCAGTTAGAATGTTGTCTTGGTGATTGTTAGGATTTTGGACTATTTTAACGGTATTTTTGTTTGATGAGCAAGTACTTGCTTCTTTTTTATTTGGCGTTAGTTACTTTGCAGAGGAAAGATTTGTAAAATAGATTGTTACTTTCACTTTGGTAGCTATGTATGATAGCGCGACCTCAGTCACTTATTAACGATTGGCTAATTTGCCGAAACCAATGAGACGTACACCACAATCTTGATATGTTGATAATGAAAAATTTTGGAATGATGCTGTGATATTTACATCGTTGAGAAAGGTCATTGATATTTTTATTCTTTTTATCTGAGAATCTAGTTATAAACTTGATTATTCTTAATTTTATTTTATTATCATGCCCATTAATTATTATGTGAAGTAGTATAATAGTTTAAATACATATTGTAAAAGTTTTGAGGATCTCTATCTCCTTCTTCAGTTCATTTTAATTTTAATGTCAAGTCTACACTGATAAAACAATCCAGGTAATGATCTACCCCTGTACTTAAAAACGTCGCCATTAAACCCTTGAAGGGTTTATTCCGATGTCATGAACCCTTTTCGCGCTTATTAGTCGAAGGGTTTATGGCGCTATAGGTTTATGAAAACTCAAGGGGTATATGATGGGTACGTACGGATTCATTATTCTACGATTTTAAGATAAGAGTATATCCTTTAACGGATGATAGTAGATTGTTGTTCGCTTTCAAGGTAGAGGTATTTTATTCTTCGTTATCTGGCTTACTATTTTACTTTCTCGTTGAAAGGGTACACCACTCTGCCTTTCTGGGTAGAGTAAGCTACCATTTCTCAGAAACAGTTCATTATTCTACGCCTAAGGGTAGATTCTGTTACCATTTCCTGCTAAGGGTTTAGTATTTCACGTTCAACAGTTGATTCATCTAAATCTTAATAAAAAAAGGTTTAGTACTGTACGTGAATGCTCGATTCTATGCCTCTTCAGTGACAGGTTCTTTGATTCTACTGACAAATATCGGCTTATCTACCTTAACATCTCAAGGAATAGTTTTATCGTTGGTTGGTATTTCCGCTCTTTCATCGAAAGGGTTTATCATTCTACGCAGAGAGATCGACTGTTCTACTGTTTGATCGGAAAGGTTTATTACTTTACGCACAGGGGTTGATTGTTTTACATTTGCGTCAAAAATGATTTCTTAGGGTTTCGATGCGAGGATCTGTGTCTGGTTAATGTTATTTTATACAGCCACCCACGCGCTAACTTGATGAAAAGAAATAGTAAGATGCCCATCGTTTTTGTTTTTCACTGGTCACAACCAAAAGGAAAATATGAATCACTTATGTGGTGAACTTGCGGTGTACATCAAACAATGTTTTGATATGCGAAAATAAGAAGTAGCGAAATTAGAGTCACACTTCATTGACTCAAGTAAACATTTTATGTTAGAAAAAAAGAAAAAACATGTAACGCCTATATACATACAAAGTAATACCTCTTGTAGACTCACATTAAAAAATAAGCATTTTGATATCGACTGGTAAGTAGTCTTATTCGATCATTGATATTTTTACATCAGCGCTGTGTTTCATTTTTACAATATAGCAGCGTAGATAATAATGAAAGCAAAAATGAGGAAAGATAAACATGCGTTTTCGTGTTTAATATGAAGATATTGAAAAAACTGAGATAGAAAGTGTTGCAGATGCCCCGTTTGTAACTTAAATCAATTCACAAAATAGAAATTTATGTTTCTCTTTAACCTATCAACAACAAATTTCCTATTTTCGATTCCTAATCTGAATCTTAATCTTTTCTTTATTATTCTTTTTTTTCCTATTTATACTATACTATACCCACACACACACACACAAGAGAGAGAGAGAGAAAAGAAACAAAGGAAGAAAGGCATTTGTTTCTTCGACTAGACTATTTTGTATATAAAGGTGATGGTGCATCATTCTATAAATGCATTTAAATTCCAATCGAAGAAACGATGCCATTATTTACGTCGTCACGCACGGGGGGAAAGAAGACACAATAGAGAGATATGCAGAGAGGGGAAAGAATGAATGAAAAAGAGCGGTTAGCGTATGTGCATCTCGAGTTGGATTGCACATATAAGAAGTACATAACGTATAAAGACGAAACAAGAATAAATAAGAATAAATGAATAAATAACTTGTTAGAGTACTCTCTAACACATTCGATAGGGTTTATGAAAATACAACGTATGATACACCCTTTTAAAGTTGTTCAGTCGTATAAACGCTATGATAAACTTTTTTATTTCGTCTTTTGATGGATAGATAAAAGGGTTTATCGCATGCTCCTAAACGGTAGAAAAGGGTATATCATACGTTGCATTTTCATAAACGCTTTAAACGTTTATCATTCGACGCTTGTTTTTTATCAGTGTGTTATCAAGTACTATACGTATCTACCCTTTTCTCTTATTTAATTTAATAGTGAAACGCAGGAAAATCATCCTAAAAATCGAATCCCATGTAATTTAATTAGAATTTACGTGAACTTCTATAGAAACGATGAATTCCTATCGGACTGTGATGGAATTCAATGCTTGACTTTGATTACCCTCAGAGGGTGACTTGCGGCACTAATTAGTATTAAAAAAATTAAATTATTTGTTCCCGTCTGACCCATAAGTAGTTCTATCAGCCAAAATTTCGTGGAAGTTTATCGGCTGGTTGGATTCGGTATTGAATTCATTCACTTGAAAACAGCCGATAAATCCGCATGAGTTGTGTTGAACAGCATTGCCGTCTTGTCATTTTCTTTCACTACCATTACATAATTGACTAAAGAATACGTAAATATCTGTTATATTTAATGATAGACATTTTCAAAACGTTTTCGTTGTATATTTAATTAAGTGAACATACTATTTTTAATTATTATTCATTAGCATCTTCAAAAAATGTGAAAAATTGAGAAATTACATTGACTTCGTTTTTTCCTAAAAAAAAAGCAGTTTCCCTTCCTCAATAGAGAATATTTATCTCCTGTTTTTATCTATAGATCATTTTAGTAACTGACATATGAATAAATCTTTAAACGCCTCGAGTTCTCTAAATGAGCACACTGTGCCATTATGGAACAGCTAAAATAAAATGCATAGAGGTCTCGTTAAAATCAGTAAAAAAGGGGCTATAGTCTTACGAGGAAAATACTCCAACTGTTCAAAAGCTTTTGCCAGTATCTTTTGGTTATAGGCAAGTTTCAGTGAGACTAAGACAATCCTAGAAGGGCTCGTGTGTATAGCTTATTAATCAAGAAGCCTTTTTCATGGTGTTCATTCGAAACTCAACTTACAAGATTTTGATCTGATCTTTAGTTAATAGATTGGGCTGGCGATCGTTAGAACATCCTAGAACTTCTACCCGAGCAAATACTTCTTACTTGAGCCACTGGATTATTGAAAAATAATTGCTTGCCACTGGCTAGTCATAAAAATCGAATTTACATGAATACCCACGAAAAAGACTGAAAATTCAGTAAATCACTCACAACGTTGGATTAATAAGCCATGGGCACGAACCATTCTAGCATTTTCTTAGCATAGCTGAAACCTTCTTATAACCAAAAGATGTAGTCAAAAGCTTTTAAACAGTTGGGATATTTTCCTCATTAGCATATTCATGGGAAGCATTGTGTGTTATAATGTCATGCAGTCTTACTTTAATAAAGCCTAGCCCGGCATGCATTAGATGAGAATGATAATAATAACTGTATAAGATATTATAAAATTACTCGAGTTATCTATGGAGAGTTAGAGACTGATTCAATTTTTTCTTCTTCTAACGATATAGCGGTGACTCTAATAATAAATTTTATAGGTTAATTTTTAGATAAAATAAATAATATTAACTAATCATTAAAAAAATTGCAAAAATAGGAAGATAACATAGATTAATGCATTAAAAATATCAATGATTTTCCTCAATCTATGTAATTATTCTAAATGAAATCGATTTCAATGTATTTGGTATTGAATCGATCTGAGACGTTTTTGGCCAAAAAACGGTTTCAGTGGAATAAATAGTTAGATTTAATTTGAAATAAACACATTTTATTTATTTTCGTATGCTGCTTGTAGGAAAAATCAGTTCTATTTTTATTATTCGACTGCTTTTGTTACACTGGTAATTTGCAACACGTGTACGCACAACGTTCCAAAAGCAATATTTAGCGATGCATACGACTATGTTTTCTGATGAAGATTATCGTGTCCAGTGTGAGTACCCTGGTCAACCGTCAATCAAACAAATGTAATGTATTCATATCTATATAGATCTTGGGACAAATCCATCACTTAGTCTGCCCATATGGTATATGATATTGTTTTCTTTCCTTGGTCACAGTCTACTCTTTTATTCTCTACCAACTTCCATCACTCCATTTATTAAAAGTTATATTATATCCACTGTTCATGCCTGTGTGTCGGTCCTTGCCGTGAGCATATTCTATGGACGAGGATTGGTAGATTTTACACAAGTCAATAAAATACTAGGTGGAGGTATGGCAGGTACACCGGACGAAACTATGACATATAGTATATGTTATTCATCAGGTTACTTTATATATGATCTACTCATTATGTTACTTTATATATGATCTACTCATTATGTTATGGTTTAAATCGGTCAGAACCCCTTCAGCTATGGCTCATCATATCATCATTCTTGTGGCCGGATTAGCAGGTGAGCCATAGCGATGGCAGCTATTCTATATTTTGTACAATACAAAGGCAATAGATAGTGAAATAATCACAACTGATATCGGTCTATTCTTATATAGTTGATAGCTCAGTACATTCCAGATTTTATTTGAAGGAGTAAGATTGAAAAATCTGTGCAATGATCAACAAGGAATCACTTAATTTTTTCCGAGAATATTGGCTTTCTCTACCAGAATTCTACAGTTCGATGTTCACAACAAATTAATTCGTCTACTCTCAACCTATCACAGAATGAAATTGATACAGAACATTATATTTCTTTCACTCGACGCATTCTAAGGAAGCACTCAACCGGGTGATCGATATCGTGCATCAGGGAATATTTTTACATTTACGATAATAGCAAAACATAGAATCTCTAGGTGCGCTACCTGAATTCAAATTTATATCTGTTTTCTAGACCAATTTACTACGAAAATAGCGATTGTAAGTTTGTGTCCTAAAATTTTCAGTTACACGTTTACAAACACCATTGTGTGGCATTTCAATATGACAATAGTGCAAGGAGTCACAATGAGTTACTTAAAAAAAAAACTGAACACGATGCAAGAAAAGAAATTGATGAACAAATGCAACTTAAAGAAGCATAGCAATGATAAAAGAATGAAGAAAACTGTTTAGGTAATTGACAAATACAGAAAATGTCTTACGTGAATAGCTAAAATGATACGTGCTCATTTCGAATGACTATATCATTTGTGTCAGATAGCTATTTCGTATTCAACTATATGAAAGACGACAATTTCTTTTTATTTGCTTTTGTAATGAAGTAAATTATTGATTCTTTTTATAGGTCTCTATACTCACGTCGCTTATGCGAGTCACTTCTTTATGCTTGCTGAAGAGCTTTCAACTATTCCACTCAATCTAAAAACAATCTATCATAAGCGAACACGCTTGCATGATTTATTTGCTCATCTTTTTATCGTTGCATTTTTCTTCAGTCGTCTCATCTACGGAACGATTATATGTTCATACACCTTTCGAGCAGTACCAATATTCATTCAAATGGCATCTACTGTGCACGATACGTCAAGTATTGCTTTTGTGATAGCGCAAGTTTTTCTGTTTATTTTCACCAGACTACTGAATCTCTATTGGACAATATTAATTATGCGCAAATTGTTTGTTGCATTTCGAAGCAAAAGGTCACCCGTTTTGACTAATGACATGAAGCTAAAAAAGAAAGCTCTTTAAATTTCTACTATTGTGTTTTTAAATCATATTTGTCATGTTTATCTGTTTGATTGACTTGATTCTTCTTATTAAAGCTACAATGAAATCTATTTTTCTGAAACAGTTTTAATTTGCTGTTTCACAAAGTCCGTTATATATTTTCATTTGTAATGGATGTTTAGCTCATTTATTAATGGGCCAGTAGCTATTAAAGTTCTTTTGTCGTTTATGCGACTGGTCAGCGAAATACTTTTTAATTGATAGTACATTTTCAACAAATCACGTAAGTTAAAGTTTAGAGATTGTCGAGATAGGGTATCAGTGCGCATGTGTGTGTGCATACTCTTATTCTTTGTCACACCTATACCTCAGCTCTACAACAGTGGCGAAATCGCATTGATGTTTGCTACAGTTAAACACACACTCGTAGGCACAACTTGAGACTGCAAATAGTGTATGTATTGGCGCATCTTTACGAATAAGAAATTTGGAAATAGGTGAGCTTCTCATTATTGAGTTGCCCCTCCGCCAATCCGCATCTTTTTCATATTTATAACATAGACTTGATTCGAAAAATACACTATAGTCTTATTTCAGATACACTTTTTAGACCTTCTGCATCCTCCACAACGATCTCCACTGTTGGTTTCCGTTTTGTCTCATCATTGGGCTTGTTTTGATTTGATTTCGACATGCGATCCATAAATGCTGCTGCTTCACATGAGTATTTGGACCAACTTCGAATGATGACGCCATATTTCCAAAACACAAACGGCAGAGGTAAGCACAGAAGGGCTAAACAAGCAGGGATTGTGGAGGCCCAATGAATACCAAGGTTATGAAACATTTGCGTTGTAAAGAGGGCTGGAAATAAAGAAATGAGATAGTTGCATGAGTTGTAGATAGACTTACGGAAGATGGCCCCAAACAACGAGCGCAGAACTGAGTTTGCTGCTAGAACACTAGCAGCGTAGATAACATAGGTATCGACCAAATAATTCATCAGAGATAGAAACACTAGGTTCGTTCCGAATCCAAACGGTATGCCAGCTGCTATTGGAACAGTAAAGTGTATCGATGGATAGTTGGTCCAGGCAACCAAAATAAGCCAATAGGCAAAGCAAACGAGCCAACGATTGCCGGTGGAAGACGCTGTTCGGGTGGTACCGGTTGACCAGCATAGGCGTCAACCAGCCTAGAATATCGAAAATTTTCGAATACACAGTAGATCATACCTATGATAAAACCACATGCGATACCAATAAACGCAAGACCACCAACCGTGGGCGACCATCTTCTCTCCTCATTGAAGACTATGGGAAAAGCACCGAATAACATGTAGAGAATGCCGTATATAATAGCCATACAGATCAATAAAAGAAGAGCAATGGGTTCACAGAAAAGAAAAGTTCATGGTCGAGAGAGTGATGTTCTCAAAAGGTGACCAAAACGAATTTGTTCATGTTCTTCAAATTTCGAACGGTAAACGAATCCTGTGACTTTGGAAAGTTTATTTGCTCTTTGACGAATAAGAACAGGTGCATACGTTTCCGGATAAACGAGAATTCCAACTAAGACAAACACAGCGGTATAGATAGCCATGACTCCTTGAATCCACCTCCATCCAATTGATTGACCAATTATATTTCCTAGATTGATCAGTGGCTATTTCATGTTTATTTTTTCTAGCTAATTGACAGAACAATACTTACCAATAATGGGTCCCAAAGTAGGTCCAAGGAATGGAGCACTAGCAAGCACGACTATACCGAGACCACGGTCTTTGGCTGAGAAAATATCAGCTATTGTTCCCGCAGCCTAAAATTAAAATAAATCATTTTTTTTATAGAACAAATACTTAGGATGAGCTATAATCCTTGAACCTGTTATTTATACTGAGATTGAGAGTTATGTAGTCAAATGTAAAATTATATGTATTCTGAACCATGAGAACAATTAAGAAACGATAGTAAAGTATGAAATTTTACATTGAAATGTTTATTTTGAAAGGCAACTCAAAGGAGAAATATTCATTGATACAGGCAAAAAGTATGAAGATATCTTCTGTCTGTAATATACGAGCACATTGCGATCAATTTCAAAAGAAGAATAGACTTTTCTCAGTATTCTGTTATGCTCAGATTCTCGGCTATGTTGAACATGATTGATGATAGCGTCAATAACTTTATTGGTTATCTTATAATACTCACAAAATATTATCATATTGCCCATGTAAAAAAATAGGGGTAAAAATCAGATTAAAATCGGTTACCGTTTTGATTAAAAATCGATTATAATTAGCTACAATCGGTTATAATCGATGCAACAGTTGTTGCCAAATACTACAGCTTACAACAAATTTCAGTTGATTTTTATCTGTTTTTAATCAATTACAAATCAACTAGCAGCTGATTCAAAGTAGCTGTGATGGTTTGAGATCGACATCAGGCACATAATAACATCTCATCAATTACTTCCAGTAACGCTGATTTACAATTAGCAAGAGTAGACTTATTTTTACTTTCCTGAAAGTACTTTCTCAACAATTCGTTAGTATTCTCTAAATTACATTATTCAGAATTTTTACTTTGGCAAACGAAATTTATCCTTAATATTCGTTTGAAGCGAAAGTAAGAAATAGCGAAAAAGCAACTCAGATTTATATTAAAAGAAAACTCGTATTATAACCCAAGAATCTGGAGGTTTTGTGCAATCAATTATTTTTATGGGAAGTACTGTAAAGAGTGTTATAGTTTTTTTTTTGAAAGGGTTTGATGTTTCTGGTTATCTTATATTACATCAGATTTTCGATGCGATTTTCGAGATAATTGAATCGTTGTTCTAAATTCAAACCAGGTCATATATGTTGAAATCGCTTCTTTCATATGCATAAAAAAATCGACCTCAGTATCTAATGTTGTGTCTTGTTTTTACATATATCGAGTCTAAATAGGTTGTTACATCATTTTTTCGAATAATAAAGGCGATAGTGAATGATGTAGGATTATCTGTGCATGCCGTTTATAGCCAAGCGCCGAACAAATAATCTATCTTTCTAAATTTTACAGATATCATATCTTTCAGATTTAAAAGATAATTTATTTTACATTGTTGAAATGAACAATCTTTAGATTACTAGGATGGCTTTAACTTTAACTTTTATCACGCAACATGATCATAAAAAATCATTACAAATGATTTTTTTTTCAAAAGTTGTCTTATCAATTACAAAAAATCAATAAAGAAGTGACTTCTGATCGTGCAAGTTTTCAAAAAAAGTTCTTTCAGTCTAGAATCAGTTTTGCTTGTTTTTTGTAAATTATTCTGTTGAAAAAAAAATCAGATGATTCCTAATTGGATTTTCAATTAAGCTATTTTAACCTGCATAAAACTCAATGCGTCGTAATGCATTCAAAAGCACAATTGATTCTAATATATTAGTAGTAGTAGGAGTTTATTTTAAACGAATTTGAATCTCAATGATTATAATCGATTCGAGAAATGAATCAATTTTTGTGGATTTTAAAGCGAGAAAAAATAATAAAATACTGATGAAAATCGATTATTACTCAAAACCGATTCTAATTGATTAATAAAAATCATAGACAATCGATTATAGCCGCTTTAATCGGTTTTATGCAATTAAAATTAAAAAAATTGATTCTAATTGGTGAAAAATCTTTGATTCCTAATTAACTTTTAAAAAAATCGATTCAAATGTTCAATTTAATCAGAAAAAATCACAATTGCTAGATTTTCATCAATTATTTGTGGTGCGAATCGATTATAATCAAGAATATGTTGATTTTCCGTGTAAATTTTTTTACATGGGCGGTATCAAATTGAAACTTTTCTCAATTTTTTCGCTCAATTTTTGGACTTTTCCTGGTTAATCTACTACTCTCATTTTCTGTGCGACTATTGCGAGTTTTTCTAAAATTGTAAAAGCATGTTTTCCAAATTCTCTTTTCATTCGAGTATCAATCTAGACTTTAATAGATAAGCAATGTCTGCTGTTCTCCTCTACAACAATAGTTGTTTTCAACATATTCTTGGTATGAACAGCTAAGTAGTTTTCACCAGCTAATTCTAGATAGACTTTGCAAAAATTTCAGTCACTGGTGAAATATACCACGGTGACAAGTTATATGAGTGCCACAACGGTTGTGACACCTATTTCATGTCTAACAGGATCTAAAGGAATACTTATATAGAGTGGTTTCACTTTCTCGCTGATGTACATGATCCATTTTTACTAAAATCACCACTAACTACAGTAAAAAGCAATAACGCTAAGTATGAATATGTGTCGTCCAGATCGAGTGTATAATCTGTAATACCTTTCTATACATTCCTTTTTGGAAATACTTTGCTCGTACGAATGATTGTTTAGTTCTGAAAATAGAATTACTTTCTAAATGACTCCTGATAGATTTGATCAAGTGTGCAAAATAAACGGCATCTTATACAAACTCATTTTTTTAAATTGCGATATCGTTGCTTTTGATGATTTCTTTGGTAATAAGCGCCCTCGAAATCTCACGTGTGAAGAAAAAAACATCTTCAGAAAGCATCTCTATAAAATAATTTATCTTTCTGCTCTGAACCCACATAATCCGTGGAATCAGCCACGTGAGCCGGAAGAAGAGTTTGGTTCGTGCCAACAAGTCTACTCTCGCTATGATCTCTCAGACTGACTTTTGCTACCAGGTAGAACTACATTAGATTGTACGTCAATCAGTTGTGAGTGTTGTTGGAAAATGGCTTCATTCCTGCTTCAAATAAAAAGAGTCAGTCTATCATATTCCTTTTTGCACGATGGGAAATCGAGAAGACATCTAGAACTAGTGAAAGATAGACACAATGTATATAGCCATACTTGCTCATCTAGAAAAATACTTATTTCTCGACTTTTCTGCAAATAACACACGCTGGAAACAACACATATTAGTGGTGAGAATCTATTTTTTTTAAGTTTGTTCCAACCACGAGCTACTGCAAAATCATTACAGTAACATCTTTTGTACGTGGTAACGGATGTGATGAGTTTTGATGTAATAGATATTCTTGGAGCGATATTGAATGCACAATTGATTTAAATATCAAGAATTATGCTTCTATACTGTTTGTTGACATAGAATTACGTTGAGAAATGACGTAACACAATAACTGAAAAATAAGAGATGCAAGAGGATTAAATCTACTAGAGAAGGACGCATCAATAGAGCCACTTTAAAGTCAAAATAGACGGGAGAATAATTGGTACAGAGAACGTCAAAACTATGTAATTGTTCTAATGATAAGTACAAGCGACGGACAGAATCAATGATGCACTTACAAAGTATAAACTAGAAGAAGAAAGAAATAGGAGCATGACTGAGTAATATGAAGGCAAATGGAATGCAGGCATTGCACTCGAAGATTGTAGTAGATTATGTGTTTGCATCGATTGTTCGAACAATTTCATCAATTTGTTTTCACATTCATTTAAAGAGCATAATTTTCATAGCTATGATTACAATAACATGAAATCTACCGATGTCAAACTAAAGCTCAACCTTCGATAATACTTTGATTATTTTCGTCTTTTTAAATGATGAAGTAGTTCTCAAAATATGAAACTATAGAACACAAGACCTTTTCCCATCACTTTCGTTCAAAAACTGCTTGACTTTGATTGGACACTATCATTTATTCTCGTCGTTATTCAAAAGAAATGATATCTACCAATAGGTAATAAACGACAACTTATAAAAACATCGTCTTATGAATAAGTTCCATCGTCATATGTTCGAGAAATCTTCTATTCAACTTTGATAAAGCGTGGAATATTTTTAACTGAGAAGACTTTTATATAGATTGAAGTGAATTCAAAGATCATTTCGAGCAAAATTTCATTTCGTACTGTTCGAAACAGCTGAACTTATATTCTTCTACTGTACTAACAAATGTTGCAAGTGAAAATATTACAACCATTGCTGCATATCAGATGATTTCATCATTACCTAAGCTTGATTTTTATAGAATTAGAATAAAGTTCTCTGATTCGATTTGTATTAGTTCGTTAAATAATACAATTTTTGCTTAACAAAGGTCATCTTGTGAGTCTGATTTGATGGATCACACGAATGAGCTATATATGATAAGAAAATTGTATTATAGTGATTAGTGGAAATTTTTGTAAGACTATCACAACATAAACATACTTGAATTAGACTCTACAGAACTATCCTAGAGTTGAAGGCAAGTTGTATTTTCAAAATTTTTATGCTAATTGTCACTAAGGTGAGCATTTGTAAGTGGCTCTTTGAATGTGTAATTGATTGCCTAAGACGATAAAAATCAGAATTATCATGAGAAAATTTACAATTGCTCTCATCAATTTTAACTTGAATAATAATGAGGGACTGGTTCGATTACGGCGTGAGTAGGCATTTGACTAAAGCTTTTGTATGACAACTACTCTAGGCACTATACGTTTCTTGGGTACGTCGCTACTACAACACCAGTGCTCGAAAGCTATTCAAGATAGAAGCTAGCACTGCTTCCAATGGAATAGATTCTTACCTGAATACTGTGGAGCACATGGCAGTATATACCTTTGAAACTAGAAATAATCTCTAAAAATCTTGACTGAAGACGTTCAGAATGAATTCATGAGCCGAACATGTTTAGAAACGAGAAGTAATGATCATGACTTTTCAACTAGTAGACTATGAAGACAAGTAGCCTAATATTTTCCTCTAATCAAATCAGTGAGATTCACCAGATATACTACATACATTTGTGAGTGGTGAAGAACCAAAAGCACCAGCTAAAAATCGAAGAATCAGCAAAGTCCATATGTTTTGAGATCCAGCAGATCCAACATTGAATGCTACTAATGCCAAATACGTAATTATGAAGATGATGCGTCGACCAAACATTTCAGAGAACGGTGCCCAAAGGAGAGGACCTGTAATATGTATAAAGATTTTCGAAAAAATAAAAAGAACAGCACTGACCTAACGAAAATCCGAGGACGAACAATGAAATACCAAGTGTGGTGACTTCTACTGAAGAGCCAAACTCTTTCATCACACCTTCAAAATTACCGACGTACGCTGATGAACAAAATGCAACGGACAATGTGGCCAAAGAAACAAACACAGTTAACAACCATTTGTAAACCTTTCTCCAAGTTCGTGGATTCTCTGGATCATTCGGTATCCAGTCAACTATAAATGGCGTATCGTGCGTTCCTTCCCCTCGATATTGGTGGGCAACAATTTCTTCGAACGGGGTGATATAAAGGCGGTATGGAGCTCTGAAAGGAGTCAGTTTGGAGACATCGATGTTGGAGCGATAAGCCGTTTCGACTTCTTTTTCAACAACCATGTTAAGATAAACTGATTTCAGAGTACATATAATGATAGCATAGATGATGAGAAATGAAAATTTGTTACTTATAATTGCTTCAATTCGGAGCAGCCGAAGTCACACGGTTGCCTGTTACTTGTCGTTTTAATTACGCGATACAGAAATTAGATGTTTTTTCCATGCATCATTGCTTTATATTTCACCGATACCTTCAATTCGTGTTATCAAGCACAACACATCACCCGTACTTTACTGCTGCATGAACCGCACTCATACTTTGCGTAATTTTATGTGTTCTCATCCAGAACTCATACTTCTTTAAGTGGTGATAGACGAGCAATAAAAGGATGCACCTTTCGCTAGTGTACTTTTTATACAAAATAATTAGACAGATGTGAAAAATAGTTTTATTTGAAGATTGTTTCTTCGTGCTGTTTCGATGCCTATAGTGCTTCTATACGCATCCAGTTACAACGAAATCGTGATAATAGACGTGAATCCCGGCAAGATTCTCCGCGGACATTTGCTCCCTAACTGTATTTAACAAAAATGTTAATCAGCACGAGATTAACATATAAATTTATTTATTTCAGGGTATGGGTGTGTCGGTGTGAGTGCATCAGTGCAAGTATGGACAAATGGTTATCGTTTTCACTCACCCACACCCAGATTTGGAAAACAAAATGATTCATGATCTAATCTGTTATACTTGATAGTGTGAGCAGTTTTAGTTCACTAGATACATCCGAAACTGAGCAATGACGAAGAGTGAAAACTTCTTTTGAGAGGTTTTAGGACTGTGGTCTCTTTCATTCTACAGAATATTCTAAAAGCATTCAAAACTCTAGCAGTCTTTTGCATTGCATCAAATAGAAACTCGAGGTAGAATTTCGGGTTGTTAGTGCACATTTTAGCAATTGAGTAAGCTCGAAAACTCTTCGGCTTGCCTGGAGAAATATTTTGGAAACTGAAAGGATAATCTGATATAACTCATCAGATTTTGAGTCAAATATTCAATAGTGCAGATTTTCATTATCAGGGAAAAGGGATTCGAAAAATACCCGTAGCGTGTAACTCAGGTTACATTTTTATTAGATCTTTAACTTGCGCGACTCTTATTGAAAAGCGCTTGATACACAGAAAGCTGTGGCAAATCAAACATCTACCTGACAAATCACTTTTTCAATATTTCTTATACGAAAATAGTGAATTTTCTAATTTAAAAACATTACTCTAAATAATACTTTGAAATGCATTGAATAATAATGCATTATCCTCAATTTCAACATTATACCTGATAATGCATTGTAACGCATTGAAAATTTAGGCATTATCCTTCATTTTCACCATTATTTGGAATAATGCATTAATTCATTTTTTTGAAATAATGGAAAATAATCGGTCATCTTTCCATTATTCATCCATTATCGGGTACATGAGTCGTTCACAAGATGATGCAGCTGTCGGTGTATCTACGTGTAACATATACACACCCTCAAGTTGTAAAAATAATCTATAATAACTGGTTTGAAAAAAAAACAGATTGGTTGTATTTATAGAATTATAGTATGGTTCTTTCATTTTTACTTCTCTCAACAGTACTATAGCTGTAATTAAGTGAAATTCAATATACTGTATTAACAATTGTTTGAGACTTTTTTGATTCAACAAATGCCATATGTGCTCTCATTCCACAATAACTGAATAAATTGAACAGAGTTAAAACAGCTATACTTTTCCTGAATTGCGAGGCTTTTACTAACTCGATTCATTGTTTCGATTATTTCTATGTGAGAATGAAGATGCATGTTGCACTCGACAATACGTAAAAAAAAGAAGCTGAAAACATCACATAAATCAAATGCTTTTTTTTGTGATAGTCCAATATATTTTCAAATAAAGCCGTGATTGCCAATGTCAGTTGGAAGGCAAAGATCTGGAAACGGCGTTGGTCATGCCACTGTTTATTGCAAAGATGATAGATCATTACAAAATATTTTTCAGGTTGTCTATTTTGTATAACTTTAGCCAGACTAAAGGATATATATATATATATGAGTTCGTCATTTTATCCTCAACAATTTCCACCAATAAGCGTTATTCTCATCTTTAGATGCATTCATTTTTTCTCTTCAACAATATTTATTCACGAATAAGAGCCTGAAAATTAAATATATTAAATCATTTTAGCTCTTCCTTATGTTTCTATCACTAACTTGCGAACCTTATATTATGATACAATAAAATAAACAAAAAACAAGAACCTATAGGATCGAGTTTCACGATAAATTGCAACAAAAAGCACAACAAAGTATCGCAAGCCTTCACTTACTAAGTAAGCACAAAAATAGCTCTTATTTCGTTGAAACGATTGCACACGTCTCTGTTTTATCAGTTCGATTCAAACAATTGCAAAAAGATCAGGTAAGAAACATAAAATAATATTCGTTGTTCCACATTTTATTACACAGTAAGATTAAGCAGAAAAATTGATATTTTTTTCTTCCTGATCACATTCATAGGATTATCCTATGCTATGAATGCATATGAGAGAAAAGTGTCCAATATAATTGTGTAAAAAATATAATAATATTTATATGCTCTATGCTGGTTGTACGACATATAGATCGAATAGAATGATCTCCACAATAAAAACATTTCTATCCATTTTTCAAACCTATAGTACAAAAACAATTAATATTTTCAATTTCCTTTTTCAAGTTTCGATCACTATTTTTGCTATCAACATTTTCTTTATAGTTCGTTGAAAAAGAACAACTAAAAATAATTGCAAAAAGTTGAGTGCTGCCACTGAACTATTTTAGTCAATAAGTACGAACATGGTAATACTGTGTCTGTCTATCTAGGACTTACGCAAGAAATTGAAATCACGAAGATGACTACACTTTCATCTGATCAAATCTCGGCCATTCATGTTGCAACCGAAAAGCTTCTTCCTGATGCTATCGCCTTCTTGACAGAACTTGTTCGCATAGACACAAGAAATCCTCCAGGAAATAATTATCGTAAAATAGTTGAACTTATCGGAAATAAACTCGAACTGTTTGGCTACGATATCAAGTATCTGTTATTAACTCCAGAAGAGACTGATGAATTGGCACCTCACGGCGAGAAACTTGAAAGAATTAATGTTATTGGTACACTACCGCCTAATACAACATCTATCACTGGAAAAACAGTCCATTTTAATGGACATGTAGATGTTGTTCATGAGGGTGACATCTCAAAATGGAACTTTGATCCATTTGGCGGTGAAATCAGAGGTGGTAAGATTTATGGGCGAGGTGTATCCGATATGAAAGGTGGTATAGCTGCTCAAATATATGCTATTGAAGTAATAAAAGCGGCTGGACTAAAACTAAGAGGAACCGTTGAGCAATCTGCCGTAGTCGATGAAGAAACCACTGGTAATAGAAATGCTGGTATGGGATATTTTGTTGAAAAAGGATATATCACAAAGGAAAAAACGACTGCTGTCATCATTACTGAACCATTGAATTCCTGCAATGTCTGCTGTGGTCATCGAGGCACCATATGGGGAGATATAACCTTTTACGGCAAATCTTCTCATGGCTCAATGCCAGCTTTAGGTATCAACGCTATACAAAACTGCGCAAAATTTATTACTATTGCAGCAGAAGAACTAGGCGCTATTCATACAACTAAACGTGATCCCAACGTAATACCAACCGAAGCACAAAAATCTAGTCTTGCGTTCACTGTCATACAAGGTGGTACCAACACAAATTCCGTGCCAGACATTTGTAAAGTTTCTTTTGACAGACGTCTCGTACCTGGAGAGTCTATTGACCAAGCTCGTTCTGAAATTTATTCCGTTCTACAACGATTAGAATCAGTAGATTCAAATTTTAAATATAAATACGAAGAACGATATGCCGTTACACCAGTATGGGTAGATCCTGAGCAGTCTGTATCTCGAATCTTTCGAACGGCGATTAAAACAATTACTGGAGAAGAAGCTGGAGTTGTCTGCTCTCCTGGTTCTGATGATCAACGATTTGTAGTGCAGGGAGCTCAGTTGGAAGCTTGCATCGTTTATGGACCTGGAAATATTAAAAATGTTCACTGCTATGACGAAGAATTATCATTGGACGATTTGCGAATAGCCATTGAAGTCATGGCTATTGGTGCTGCAGAAATAGTCGGATTCGAATAATTAAAAGCAAGAGTTTAATAAGAAGTAGTTACAATGCAAATGTGCAATATCGGATCTCTATTATCAGCCAAGAATAATTTTGACTCATTAGTTTACTTGTAGAAAATAAAACATTTTGATTCCATCATTTTTAATCAAAGCGTCTTTGATAATGAGACTAATCATAGGCATATTTTATAAAAGCTTTTTAGCGCAGCCCCTTTGGGCCTAAAATGTAGAACTCACATATATCCCTTAGGCTTACTAAAACAATTCAAAATAGTTCATCTGAAAAATCTACCTTGATTTCCAAAAACTATAATTCGGTCATTACCTATTTTCTTATGTCTGTAATGGTACCCTAAGCTAGTTACTATGGTCTGTAATGAGTCAGCATTGCTTTTTTCGTGTAGTCTGTAATTAAAAAAGGAAGAAGTAGTAGTCTAATTAGTCAAGCTCCTAATTAGCACAATTTTAAACCCATTAATATCTGTAATTGGAACAGGGGGTGGGGAGCCGCAAAAATCTCGCTTTTAAACTTAGATACCATTTTCTTCGAAAATATATCTGAGTTCCACAAAAATTAATGAAAACTGGTATCTCTTTTTTCTACTTAAACATACTTACTATTAGCAATTGGTGTGAAAGATTTATTTATTTAAAATACTATCTGTACTATTCTGTGTCCAAAACCTACTGATTAACACAAAAATATTCCTTTGATGCTTTAGTCTGCATATATAAATCTAAACAAGCTTTTATAAAAATTAAGCGAAAAACGAATTGCATATTCATACAAGCAAGACAAGGATCTGAAATAAATTTTTCTAACAACACGTTATTCTTTATCGTTTTGATTCCTGAGCTGAGAATCTAAAAAAGAACAAAGAATTGCAGATCGTTTCATCGCATGGAGTCAAATAAAGTTAACCAATTTTACATTAATCGAAAATGCAATACGTTTATTCTAAAGCTAAATCAGGACAGAACACAATTTTGATTGAGAAAATATTTTATTTCAATCTTGTATATAAAATAAACTATCCATCAAAAACCAAAATTTATATAGAAACATATGAGTGTGAATTCAAAATTCACTTCAAATGTTTACTAAATTTATTCGATCACCTTCATATTATACTGATGAAATGTATGTTTAAACTGAATTTTCTATTGATTTAAAATTTATATGATTTTAGAGCAAAAAAAAAGTTTCATTGCTGTTTATAAGAGTATTCATATAAAGAAATAATGACAATATTCATGCAAATATAGCACCCGATGAATGCAATAATTCGCATGACGACGAATTGCTGAAAATAAAATATCAAAGAAATACGAAAAATATATGAGAATATTTTTATGTTAACATTAATATGATGAAACACCGATTATTTCTCGAATAAAAAAAGTCAATCAATCACCAATGAAGTTAAGAAATGATTACACGATTGCACTGTTTTGAAACCGTATTATGATCGTTCATAACACAGAACAAGTATAGATTTTCTTCTTTTTCTCTAAATGTATTTGATCGATTACTTTTTTTCTCTGTCGAATGTCATTTTTGTTTTATACATATACTTTTCATTCAACATGACATGACAGTTGTTTGTTTTCTCCCTTTCTCGTATGTGTGTGCATACACAATTTTTTAGAGGGAGAGGAGTCGATGATTATAGGTTTTGTAGTAAACATGAGCAAAAGTAATGGCATATTAATAAGAGAAAACAATTAAAGAGTGCATCTTTTTCAGAGATTATAACGGTGAAATAAAAAAAAGACAGATAATGACGACACGCAACAAGATGAAATACCAACAAAACTATATGTAACAGATTTATTTTTCTGATCATACCATGAAAAAGTTAGTTATAAATACACTGTTATCAATGAAAAGTACAGAAATAATTGTTATTTCAATAGAAAATAATCTTCAAAAAAATGTGTCTTTTTTTCTTTCCTTTATTTGCTATCCATGTACACTGACCTTGATTTATACGGTTGTATCTATGTTCACTGGATCGTAACGAATATTTGCTTGTTTCTTTTTAATATATTTTTCTCTGTGTTATATTAAGAAACACATGCGTTTGTTCTCATTTCAATATTGAAAATATGTCACTAGTACCAAACGGTAAAAGAATCTGTTCTGTATGTAATAAAGATAAAATCACGTATGAATGTAAAGGATGTTCAATTGATTTTTGTTATAATCATTTAACAGAACATCGTCAAAAATTCACCGAAGATTTAATCAAAGTTGAAAATGATCGTGATCAATTTCAAGAAAATTTTGTTCAACAAAAAGAAAATATACTCAACCATGTGGTAATTCAGCAAATTACTAAATGGGAGAACGATTCAATTAGAAAAATCAAAGGAACCGCTGAACAATGTAGACAAATATTTATTGAACAGGCAACTTACTGTTATAATCAAATCGAAATTAAATCAAATAAGCTACATACTGAAATTATTGACATTCGAGATGAAGATGAATTTAATGAAGTTCTTTTACTACAACTAAGAGTTGAATTAAATAAGCTTATTGATGAACTCGCTCAATCACCAAATATTAAAGTTCATCAAGACTCATCACCATATATTAATAAAATTTTTATGACTGCACCATCTGGTAAGTTGATCGATTCGATTTTAATCAAACAAAAATTTTATTTTATTTTTAAGGCAGTGAAATTTCTCTTGGTACCCAACGAAGAATATCTACAAATGGGAGTTTAAATGCTAAATATATACAAAATGGAATTCCCATAGCTGGAGGAAATGGAGAAGGACAAAGATTAAATCAGCTTGCTCGGCCTGAAGGAATTTTTGTCGATGATGATCTTACGGTTTATATTGCTGATTCTATAAATAGTCGAATTTTAAAATGGAAACACGGAGAAAAAAATGGTCAAATTGTTGCAGGTGGAAATGGGAAAGGTAATAGAACTGATCAATTGAATGGACCAACATCTGTAATTTTGGATAAAAAAACTAATTCGCTTATTATTTCTGATTTGGGAAATAGAAGAATCATACGATGGCCATGCCAAAACAGTTCAAGTGGAGAAGTTATCATCTCCGATATAAAATGTTGCAGTTTAGCAATGGATAATAATGGAAATCTCTATGCTGCTGATTGGAAAAAACATGAAGTGAAACGTTGGAATATAGGTGATAAAGATGGAGTCATTGTTGCAGGTGGAAATGGATTAGGAAATAATCTTAATCAACTGAATTGTCCAAATCATATATTCATTGATAATGATTATTCTGTTTATGTATCGGATTATGCAAATCATCGTGTAGTACAATGGGCCAAAGATGCAAAAGAAGGTATTATTGTTGCCGGTCATAGAGGACAAGGAAATAGTCCATCGCAATTATCTCGCCCTCATGGAATTACTGTCGATCAAATCGGTCAAATTTATGTCGCAGATGGTGATAATCATCGAGTGATGCGTTGGAGTAGAGGAGATACACAAGGAATTATTGTTGTTGGTGGAAAAGGACTAGGTGAACAATTATTTCAGTTAAATACTCCAATTGGTTTGGCATTGGATCAACAAGGTCATCTGTATGTTGCTGATTCAGAAAATCATCGAATACTAAAATATCAACTCGTTATACGATAAAATTATTTATCGAACAGTATAAGCTTAAATAGACATTCATATTTTTTTGCCAAAGAATAGATAGCAATCCTTCTTTCTAGTTGCAGCAGCATTGATTAAATAAATAAATAAATAAATAAATAAATAATTCATTTTTTTTAGTTTACTCATTGAGTTATCTACAAATTTTTAAAATACACACAAGATAGCAATCAATCTCCTGTAAAGTATGCAAATGCTTGAAATAGCCACTTCAATACGTCCCTGTAAAAATATCACAATAAACTTTCAGTTGAACTATTATTTCACTTGAAACACTCTCAACATTGATGCATCTAAATTTATCTATCACTTCCATCTATGTAGGACTAAGTAAAAAAAGATAAACCCCCATAATAAAAGACTCCGGGTCATCTATTATGGCCCAGCAAACTTTTGTAAATTTTTTCCATTTTTGCTGGTGAAAAAACAAAATTCCTATGGAGCAACTTCTCTGGAGGAGTATTCTAATATGGGGGAGAGGAGGGTTTACTTGATGTGACTTAACAATAAACACAGCATGTAGATCGACCTACGTATGTATACAATGGCTATGTGAACATAAATTTTCTTTGAAATTATCTTTCTGCTCTTTTCATACTCTTGAAAGATTGCACTATGACATTAGTCGAGTGAAACAAATTGAAAGTGAAATCATTTGTATAATATATATGCATTACAGATTCCACTATCATTTCTTCATCACTTATATTATTTAAAACACGACACAATATCTGATTCTACTAGAATATGACCAGTAGATCCATAAAAGCTGTAGATAATTAGAATATGATAGACAGCATTTCCATATTATATAAAGTTTTAACAAAGCTACGTATTTATTAGGTACAATGTAAATGAACAGAAAAGTTTAGCACAGATTAAAAAAATTACACTGACGTGAGTTAACACTGTCAAAAGCTGGAAGAAAAGACAAGCGTAGTTTGGAGTTTTCTGCTCTGTGTATTATTTCGCCTATCAGCAAAAAAGAACAATAACTATTGATTACATAAAGAAAATAATAAAGAAGAAGATGAAAATTGTTTCGGAAATTTTAATTATCGAGACTTATATTTCATTTAAAACAACGATGATAACTGAAATCAATATGAAACAATACTGGAGATACGTGTGAATTTATCGTTAAAAGTAATCCTGTGTCAGTTTTAACAACAAAGTGCATAGAGGGGAGTTCTAGGTAGTGAAATGCTGAGGAATTAGAGCTTAGCTTTTGATTAGAGGTATGTTATAATGAAACATAAAGTCTTTAGCGTATTTATTATTTTATACTGATTTTGATTACCATTTCTATTTCAAACTAAAATATAGTGCTTATCATTACAGCCTACAACTATTCTTCATTTATTACTATTTTCTATATGAAATTTTGCTTAAACAAGAAAACCTCAAATTCCGATTTAGTACTTTCATGTTGTCAAAGTGACTACTCTGAAACAAACTGTGCAAACAGAAAATGAACTGAAATGTATGGATATCACATTTTTATAAAGAAATAAATTATGACTGCATCTCTATACTATTCACTTGTATTGTTTGTTTTGGATTCTTTTGCCAAGGTTCTCGTAAAGCTTTTATCACTGTTCTATCTTTTAATTGAAAATTATCAAATTGTTCTTCAATATCTTCCAATAAAACTCCTCTCGTTTCAGGACAGAAAAAGTAAACGAAAACTACAGCCAAAAAACATAGTGCACTGAAAAGATAAAAAACTCCGTGAATTCCTAACGGTGTTATTAACTCCAATATGTAGGACATGATAGTACCCATAAACCAGTTACTTGCTACCGTCAATGAGATAGCTCTAGCTCTAACATTAAGAGGAAAAATTTCAGCTGTATAGATAAAGGCGACCGGCCCCCAAGAAACTGCAAAAAATGTAACAAAGACAGCTGTAGAGAGAAGCATCACTATACCAGAAATTTGTAGACAATTAACAATTTCTTGAATTTCAGTAGTTCCATTAATGATAGATTTTTCGACGCTACATCCTGTCACAAAAACTGTTGCTGCTACAAGATGACCTAGCACCATGGCTAGGCCACCAAATATGAGAAGTTTACGGCGGCCTAATCGATCGAACAAGAACAGAGCTGGTATAGTGCTAAAGCAATTTGTACCAGACAAAATCAATAATGATATGATGCCCTTTCCAAGAACGTTTTCATAAATAATACCACCAAATGTAAATATAGGATTAATGCCAGTTGCCTGTTGTAAGATATGCATAGCCATACCAATCCCAAGTCTCTTAACCAATTTTTTTGTTTTAAAAAGCTCTTTCATTGAAATTTGACTACCTTCTTCTTCTATGGCATCAGATATAGCGTCGAGTTCAGCTGTCACATCATCTGTTTTGCGAATAGCTTTTAAACTTTTTTCGGCTGCTTCACGGCCCTTTTTCTTATACAACCATCGAGGAGTTTCAGGACAAATAAATATACCAATCATAATTAGAACTGGAGCGGCTAAAATAACTCCATTTGATAATCGCCAACCCCATTTATGATTTTGTAATAAAATATTCACTATATTGGCAGCAAACAAACCAATGACAACAGCCATTTGCATAAAACCAGAAAGCATTCCACGTAAATTCGTTGGAGCTATTTCTGAAGCGTACAATGGGCAAGAAAACGAAGAACAACCAACACCAGTACCTTCAACGATTCGTCCAACAAGTATCAGAATCATAATCTTTGTTGAACCTCCTGGCGGAAAAATAACCATTGATGTACCAATAAAAAAAAGAGCTGCTGATGTGAAAATAACAGCTCGACGTCCGTATTTTTCTGCTACATACGAAGAAATGAAAGCAGCACCTAAGAAGCATCCAACATTGTATATAAGAGTGAAAAGTACTAAAAATCGTCTATAATCTGGAGGCAAAGCACCTATCGGAAGATTGCAAACGCTTTCATTAGCAAACACACCAATGCAAAAATCATTTTTAAATGAACTCATGACGACAATACCACCTGTAACACCTTGATCATAGCCAAAAAAGCATCCGCCCAAAGATGAAAATGCTGCTAAGAGTACAGCGAAATAGGGTTTGCCATAATGAACGGTTTTATGTTGTTGATGATGATGATGATGAATTTCGCCATCAGATTTTATCGAATCCGCTTTCATACGTTGAGGAGTTATTGAAACGGGCTCAATTGACATAGTTGCGATGCTTTGTTGTAAAGACTGCAATAGAATGATATGAATTCACTCATGAATGAAGATAACGATGATATACATAAATATTTTCTGACAAAACAAAGACAGAAAATAAGTTGGAAAAGAACGTAAGATTGAAAATTTTTAAGATGATTATGATAGCATAGCGGAAACAAGTAATTTGAACCAACTGGAAATAATCAAAAATCAATTGATTTTCTTCCGAGTTTCACTGATTTTGGGATCTTCTTAGTATTTCTGTAAGATTTATAACAAATTTCTTTCATTTACAGGGGTTTTGTTTTACTTTTTCAAGCTCATCAAAGATGCTATTGATTGATAATAAAGTATAATTATTGATCAAAATCTCGTCAAGGAATTCATTAGTATGCCTAATGCTTATTTATTCTGTAATCTCCACGGAAATTTGGATTTAACTACACATGAAAATAAATAACGTAGATGCTCACCTATTTCAGTAAAACACCGGTGAAGAATCTCAAAATGAATTGTTATATACCCATATCAGAAGCATCAAAGAAAATGCAATCTAAGCTATCATTACATGTAAATGTTGCGCGTAGATAAAATATAACATATTATTTCGTTTTGAATCGCTGCGCTCTTATGTTTGTTTAGGTTAATAGTGATATTTATCGTTTCTTCCAACCATGTGCACCAAAGAAAAGCTACTTTAATTCTTTGAAAAGGTTAAAAATGTGAATGTCGAACTTGATTTGCTATAAAGTGCGTCCCATAATAATTGAAAATAAATTGTCTACGACATTTTCTATATTTTTGCTCGTTGTACAGTGTTAAAACGAGGTGTTTAACTTTTTCAAACTTTGAGGGGTCTCGTTGTAGCCGAGAAAAAAGTGCTTGGATTAAATTGAATTGCATGAACTTTTGCAATATATTCTATCAACATAGTTAACTGAATGTGTGCAATTCTTTCCGTACCATTACCTCACACACATACAATTAAATAACTCTCTTCGATTGCATATTAGATATATGGAAAGTAATAATATATGTTATCATTCTTAATATTTTCTAATTTCGAAAAAATGTAAATGATGATAAAGGCAAAGTTTTGCTTTCTTTCTCGCTCGGATAAATAGATAGATGAAAATGTAATGTTTTATTGGTTTACAAACAAAGAGAACACTATGATCGAGCTGCAAGTACATCTCTTTCGGATAAAAGCGATTTATATTCAATCGAAAAGTGATTATTTGCTTTTTACGATATATTGATTATTAATGCAGCAAGAAGTATGACATTAATGTGGTACTGTACGAGTCATTTTTCTTTGTTTTTTTTTCTAGTATCAACATACATATCGCAATCACTTGTAAAATTGAAAATCAGAGATAAACATGCCGAGCTCTCTTCCAGTAAATAATTTAAAAAAGTAGCTGCTATGAATTTAGTCCTAGATAGCCAAACAGTAAATATTATTGAGAATTGTGCGATCAATCGATACTTTTAATTAGTAAGCAGCTGATATCTATTTGGTCGAATTCATCTAATAGTTAGCTTTCCACAGTTCGACAAAAAATCACCAGTCTGTCAAATTTTCTTTTTTTGTGTGTTCGTAGTGACAGCAAAATCTGTGATTCTGCTGAAACGTAAACATATTTCTTGAACAAAAGCGCTTCATATTCAATCTTAAAGCTATTAGTTGCTTTTGATACGATATTAACTTTTTTTTGAAGTATAATATGCACTATTTTTGTACCATTCTTTATATTTTTTCTTTTAAGAGCATACGCAATACAAGTTTGTATTTTCTATCGAGATGATCTTGAAAACAAAAAATCAGCTAGACATGTTTTTAGATGCTTGGATACAATATCTTGATCGAATCAAAAGCATCCATTTTTCTTGAGGAATCTTATAGAAATATTAAAAAATTCTAGACTTCGTAATTTGCAAGCTTCGAACTGATTACAGTAAAACCAATTAGGCCGTCACTTGCGTGAAAGAAATAATTCAGTATGAAGTGAATTCGAGTACAGTTAATGATTGATAATAAAATAGATTAAGATTCCGGCTATTGATGAGCACCGCTTCTTAGTACCGTTTTGATATCCGTACAAGAGCGGTGCTGACAGAGAAATCAGCAATGACTATTTTTCACTCTCATTTCAACGTGATCCAATTCATGCACAGAATTGCAAACATCTCGATTTACAGTGACAGAAATATTTGACGATTTTAAAGTTAGAGATAATATTCGCTTCACATATTTCAACTACCAAACTGATAGATTAGATGGCTAATATACTGAAAATGAAAATGAATAAATCGCTTTTGAAAAGAAATGTATACATACGTACATATTCAGCGACTGAATTTTGTCTGATTAGTTCTAGTTTGTTTCTCTGCTGTTTCTTCAAACTTTGATCAATCGTCAAAACTCTTTTTACGCCAAGCACATCTATGTTATACCTGTGGAATTTTCGATGTTTTTTCTTCACTCTACTATTTGAGTTATTAAGTTCACAATATACGACAAAAACTTGGTTATCATCGAATTTTTCAAGCTTACAATTATTAGGCCTCTTTGAAGACGTATCAAACTCATCGAATTCAACCGATTTTGCTGTTCATTCACTTGCAATGTTTAAAGCTGCAATACTTCTTTCTCACCAATACAACATAACAGTTAACGGAGAATACATCGGATGGCAAACTGTACAGACCAGAGGCGATGTGATCGATTCCCTTAGTAGTTCATGTCTTGCAGTCTCAACCGAAACGATTATTGGTATTGTTGGTCCAATATACTCGAGAGAAGCTCACATTATCGCTGCATTCGCCAATAGAATCGGTATTCCAGTGATATCTTTCTCTGCGACTGACCCGGATTTAACTGATCGGAATACTTATCCAGCTTTTTTTCGTACAGTTCCTCCAGATAACATAGCTGCATTATCAATTGCACAACTATTCATTAAGTTTAATTGGACTTCATGCATAATAATTTATCAAAATGATAATTTTGGAACAGGTGGCGCCAACGCACTTGCACAGGTATTTAATGATTATGGTTTTCAGGTGTGCCAGACACTTGTTTTCGATATTGCCAAACTGTGCATTCAAGGTGACTTGCAAGCGTCTTTAACTGGAAGCACTACACGCATTGTGATATTGTGGGCTCAACCAACTTATGCATCTTTGATTTTAAAGTTTGCGCTTAACCTTGATCTACTCGGTCCGCAATTCACATGGATATTGAGTTCAGAAGTTCCATTGAATTCTTTTAATCAAACATTCTTACAAAATTTAATTGGAATGTTAACGATCGAACCCACAGTAGGAGATGTTTTGGGTAAACTAATCAATACAACATTGTTAGATGCTGCATATCGTATATGGGCACAGTATGAACCTGCATCGTTTCCTGGGGCAGCAAAAGTTAATAATTACGCACTATTTGCATTTGACGCAACTTGGTCATTGATTCAGTCATTGCAAAATCTTTGTCCAACAAATATCAAAAATGCTTCTTCATGCATGTCATTTATCGCTTCTTCATTCTGTTACGATAACCGTTTTCTAAATGCCAACTCCTTTTTCAATCAAATTATCGGTAATCGATTTCTTGGTGTATCAGGTCCTATACAATTCAGTGCGAATGTAACAAATCGCGTAGCTGGTGAATATTATTTGGCACGAAATATTCAAGCGTCTTTCAACACTTTCAATTACATACCAATATTAGAATGGTCTGATGACGAAACTTGGAAGACACTTAAAGAACTAAATGCGATTGTGTGGCCTGGTAACGTCTTAACACCTCCTAGCGGCCATCCAATACTTACAAATGTTACTTTACGTATTGGCGTTATTGTGTCTCCTCCGTTTACAATGATTTCAAGCAATACAGATAAAAATGGGCAAATTGACGTTAAACTAGTCGGTTACGTACCTGACCTTATTAATCGTTTACAGAACGATATGGGATTCATTCCTAATGTCATATTAGCACCACCGAATCAGACCTACGATGGATTAGTCAATGCAGTCGCAAACGGCGTGTATGATATAGTCGTAGCTGATGTCACAATTACTTCTGCACGAAGAGGAATAGCAGAATTTTCCACTTCGATTTTTGGCAATGCCTTAAGTATTATTATGCGTTCAAAAACAGTCACTCAGAAAGATCTACTTTCATTTTTAAAACCTTTCTCGTTTAATCTGTGGATGACGCTCTTAGCTGCTATCACCTTTGCTGCTTTCTTAGTCTCTCTGATAGAACGATTTGATAATCAAATATTACACAATAGATCGTTTGTTTCGTCTGTGACTATGAGTTGGTGGTACTCTATAGGCACAATCATGGGATATGGTGCAGATTTTCAGGTTGTAACAGCTGCAGGACGCCTATTAACTGTCGGATTATATATCATGAGTTTAGTGTTGGTAGCAACCTATACTGCCAATTTAACATCTGATTTGACAATCACAAAGTCACAATTTGTCATATCTGGGGTCGGCGATATAAAAAATGGAAAAATTCCGTTTAACCGTATCGGCATCTGTATTGGTACAGCCGCTGAAGCTTATTTTTTGCACGAAATTTCTGCAGGCATTAGAAGCTATTATCCATTAAGTTCTGGACCGGATATGTACGATGCTTTACTGAATAATTTAATTGATGCATCGCTCACGGATAGTGGAATTGCAGAATATATGACAAATAATGTATATTGTAATTTATCTTTGGTCGGTCCAGCTTTCGATCAGAGTTCATTGGCGATTGTCATCCCTAAAGGCTGGCTTTATGAGCAAGATTTAGATGTTAACTTATTGGCGCTACGAGAGGCAGGTGCTCTTGATGAATTGAAAAAAAAATGGTTTGAGACTAATATTTGTACTGCTAATCCCAGTAACCCAACTGGGATAACGTTGGAAGCAATGAGTGGATTATTTCTTACTTTTGCAGTCATTTGCGCTTTATCCATTATATTATTCATATGGACAAAACGTTGGAATATGATAAATTACTTGTTTAAATTAGCTGGCCGTAGCAGTCCATTGTCTAAAAAGGGTACTACTGTGACAAGATGTACGCCAGAACCTCCGAAACACTCAGAAAGCTTTCATCAAAGTTCAAACGGAAGGATGTGTTTTTAAATAAATAACCATGTGCATGCATCGTAAAATTTACAACTAACTATAATGTACTAGAAATTATTACTCTTGAAGATACGGAGGATCACTGAATATGTTGTCAGATGTTTTACAAAACAGCGGTGGCTTATTTTTTACTTAAATTTTCTGTTACTTGCTTATTCTATATAAAAAAAATGGAAATGAAACACATATCTATGGTATCTGCATACTTGACAAATGAACTCTAAATGATTTGATCCATCGATTCGATCCATGATATAAAAAAAATCACAAGAAAACTAAGAAATTTAATTTTACTATTATTAAAAAAAGCGGCAATACTGGAATGGTATTCATCAGTCTTTCTTTTTACTGGTTGTGGAATCAGAGTTAAATATGTTGATACAAATACTTCGAGTGAAATTTGGAAAAAGTACTCTGCTCGCTTGTTGTCTGTCTAGTTCGTTTCGAAGTTTCCAATAAAGCTTTTTCTCATTTAAATACAGATTGATTTCTACTCTTGTAAACTGCTACAGATCGGGTTTTGCCTCAAGTCATTCGCAGTATTAATGCAGTCCTTATTTTAGATGTAGATTTTGTTCTTCTACGGAGATCGATGCATGAAATAAATTTAGAAAAAATACTGATCCAAGTTTCATAGAAACGTCAATCAGTAATGAATTTTTTTAAAATTCGTACATTTCCTGGTAGACATCAGCTTTTAGTATTACAAGCACACAATATTTATATCACACGTCATGCAAGTCAACCAGCCGTTGCTATTCAACTTGCCGCTCAATTTCAATCACTGTTCATCTGTTTAAAAAATATATTGAGAACAATATTTATCATGTAAAAGGTCTGTAATGAAAAAGTTAGATTTTAGTGGATGGAAGTTGTTGACAGTAAACTTCAGCATATTGACGTGCGAATCGTTAGTGGAATGATATTCTCTTTTCTTTTTACAACAGTGTCAAAGGATAATTTCAAAAATAAACGCTCTGTTATCCATGTTGGCATGTTTGTTCGCATTCAGGGATGACTGTCGTAAAATTTCTGGTGTATTTTGAATTTTTGAAGTTGTTATTGGTTGTTCTGACGCGTTACCTTCGGTATTAAAAGAAAATATAGCTGCTAAAGATGCTTGTGTTTTTTGTTTTGATTGTTCTCGCAGCGTATCAGTATCTATCTCACACAATCTTGCTAACTCATTGGCATTGTCTTGCATTCGCTTTGCAAAGTCTGCATATGTTTTCAAGCTCTCTTCTGTGATATGTTGATAATTTTTTATAAAATATTCCCCAAGGGCTCTTCGTCGCTTGAACATTTTGCTCGAATCGACCATTTCATGTCGTTCTCTTATATCTTCTTCAGTTGTTATTCCCCAGGGCGTATAGCGGATGAGTTGATAATCTGCATACTTAGTATAGGACTTGTAGTAATACATCGATCCACCGCCATAATAGCAGGTCCATCGATGGCAGGGTCCCGTATATCCAATTTTCCATAAGTTCATCTTGGAAAAGTTACTTGTCCACGGTGAGGACTGCTTTGTATAGGGACGCAGCAATAATGGGGGATTTTTCAAAACTTCAGTTAACATTGGAAACAGTGCATCATTGATATCACCAGAAATAGTAAATGGTGCAATATTTTGTTTGGTCTTTAGATTCGAAGCCTGTTTTAACCAATTTCTATAGGATAAAATTCCAACATCTAGATATATCTGTTGTTCCATTTGATTTTTTCTTATTTCGTATTGTTCATTATCTGTATATAGTACAAATTAGTGAATTTCAAATAAATCAATAGACGAACCAATTTTTAAAAACGTACTTTGAATTGAAGAATATTGCTGATACTGACTTTTCGTTACGTAGAGTGTACAGCGATCTACCGCTTCACGTATGATATCTTGTACTTTTTCAATGGCAACGCTTCTTTCGTCTTCCGTTAGCTCGTCTTTTCTTGAATTGACTAAATTATCTATTTTCATTCGATATACTAATTTTCGCTGTTCAGCGCTTAGTGCAGGATATAAATTCATTGTGTCTCGATGTTGTATATCCATCAGATTCTGTGCTGATAGATTTATCCTACTGGACGTTTGCTGTCTTGGATAGTTGTTAGCGGGGCGGGTGTATTGAAACTAAAAAGACAATTAACTTGATCGAGATGCGCCTGGTAACCATATTGAGAAAATTGATGAGTGATGTTGTTTTAAAATATAGTTCAAAAACATATAAGTTCTTTTCTGCTAGACTCGCACAATAAGAAACTTTTTAAGAAAAGAATAGAAAGTAACTACTACTAGCAATTCTTTCACAGCTAGTGTATAGTAAATAAAACTAAAAGTTCAATAAAAGGTACCGTTCAAGTGTGTACTAATTTCTCAAAAAAAGTCTAACTCTTAGTATGATATGGAATTATCACGGCGATACTTTGATGATGTCAGAGAAATATCTATGTAGTTTCTTACAGTTTTCAGCGTCTCTAAAATTTATGAAAATCTCATGGTTGCTACACGACAAATGAAAGATTGCTTAGATTAATAGAGATTTTTGTTGTTGTATAAAACCGAAATATCTGTAATAGGATGACTTGCACGAATTCAATGCAGTGTCGCACACTATAATTTCTATCAGCTGAAATATTGTATCTCAACTACGTAATTATTTCGGATAATTGCGTATGTTTCCAAATAAAATGATACTGATCGGAACAAAATAGTTTAGAACCAGCTACATGGATACAACTCATCTATCTTACATAGAGATGTAGGCAATTCAAGTTATCAATAAGCGAGAAAAATATCATTTCGCTTCAAATAGCTGGATTTTTTTTATGAATACCATCAACAGAAGCATATTCGAAAGATTTGAATTTAACTTAGGGAATTCTAGCAATCAAATTGAGCGCGATGGATAGAAATATTTTTAAAAAGTTTAGAACATCTATTGATATTTAAAAAGGAACTTTTCTCTTGTCGATTACTGATAATGGTTTGCCATTTTTTTTTCTAAAAAGAACTTTATCTACTAGTTTCTAGACTTGCCTAGTTTTCAGGATGATCCCATTTTTAAAACAACGTTAGAATATTGTTATTATTTTCACACTTTTATATGACAACTGAAAAGTGTCCCTTCACAAGAAATCGTTTGAAAGTCTACATGGGCGCGTAAATTCATTTGATGCGCCAAATTATAGCAAATACACTTTTACGGAGCATTATGAACGTTAGTGTCAAACTTAGCAATATTTGCAATTTCAAAAATAAATCTTACACCATTGGATGTTTTTTTTAGAGTTCAGTATTATTTATTTCTATCTGGGGAGTAATACCATGTGGCGAACTAAGAAAGTGATATTTTAAAACTTTACTGTTTGAGCGTTTTTCGAAATATTGTGTGCAAAAACAAAATCCTTAATTCATTATGGGTTTTAAAGAATTGAATGAAAATATTTAAACGATATTCTATTTTCAAAGAGCACACTAAGCGGATGATACTTACAATTTGCAACAGCAATTTATCGAACACTAGATCTAACTGGTTTTCTGATCCGTACATTTGAAAACATAAATGGTTCTGTAGTAATTGTCGTAGGCAATTAATTGGCGTACAGTTTTGAATTTTAACTAAAATGATTGGTTTGCTAATTTGATTGGCATACATTGCTTCTCTTTTACAATTTGCATCCTTAAAATAATTTTCACTGATACAAAGAATAATACAATCAGATTTCTTCATTTGACACAATACATCACTGTGATCGCTTACTCCGTCAGAACTTAGCGATAGTGAGAAACCTTCGTCCACGAGACGATTTGTTAACTGATGACATAAAATTGAATCCTCTGGGCAAAAACTTAACATTACATTGTAGCATGCCGAAGTTTCAGCTGTCGATATAATATTTGCTGCTGGACATTCAATAGCTGATATTGATTCTGATGTTGCAAGTAAAGATTGTTGCATATGCATTTTTTCTTGCACAATGGCAACTGTTAATTGATATTTTTGTTTCGCTTCTTGTACACTAATGATGGGACCCTTCAATACGATTTGTTGATCATCATTCATTTGTGGTAAAATACATCTGTCAATACAATATTTGTAATAGGCATTGATAGAATATTGATTCCAATTCCTGAACCCATTCAACACTTGTTCAGACATACATCGTTTCATATAATCATACATTTTTTTTTGACACTTGCTTAAATTTTCTGTATTTGAGGATGTTATTGTAATTGTAGTAGCTTAAAAAGCATATGGCATAAACAAAGTTTTCTTAGTGCAACTAACTAATGCGTCTGTTGTAAAATTTTCAAAAAAATGAATTTACACAAAAGTACATCAATCCCTAAAATATTCTGAATGTTACATTCACTTTATACATTATTTATCAAAACTGTTGAATCTATACAATGAAAGTGACTATATATATTTGGTAAAGCCTAAGTAGCATATCGCAGGAATTTAAAAACTTTTCATTCAGAACAAATAGTCATGCATACCCCATCAGAGACGGTTACAATTGCACACTCTTGTATTATCGAATATTAAGAAAATAAAATTTTCATTACTTAAGAGTTAAAATTTACTTGTCACAATCTTCTATTAAATCATGTAAAATCGAAGCTCTATTGTTTTGCTTGTTACTATTAATGTAAAGCAATTAGATAAGAATTTATCGGTCTATTTTCAGTTGAAAAACATGATTTTTATACTATATGGATTAAGTTTGCTGCAGAGCTCATCATATGATTAATTAAAGCCTTTATATTAGGAATACTAGAGTAGTTTTTCTTGTTCAAAATTAAATTCTCAAAGAATAATAACATATTTATCTACTATATGTTAGAAATCTTTCCTATGTGACTAAGTTGTTATGTACGTCTTGGTGTATCTTCTCATATGATAATGTTCCACAGTTCAATTTCCAGAAATGAAAAATTAGAGTGATAGCTCAAAATTGTACAGTACTTTTCGTCGTAGTTTTCTAATTGCTTTCATGCAGTCAACCTTTCAAAATTCAAATCCTCAAGCATATTTGGAAGGTTACTAGTAGGAAGTCTTCTAGAAGATTTTATCTAGAAATCATTATAATGTTTACCAACAGTCTACATGTTTTGCTGCTTAAATGTTTTTGCAGCATTAGCCTAAAATCTACATGAATCTATTCCATGTTGTAATAGAGATGAACTACAGTTGATTTCCGTATATTTTGAACACCACATACCATTTTAAAAATCTTGCTATTTCACAAGAACGCTGTTATTATACACATGCACTATCGCTTAAGTAAATCCTCAATAAGTCATTTTTTAAAGTAATCCAGACAAGAACAATAAATTTTGTACTAGGACTACAATTTTTTATGAGAATATCTGAGTTTCAGATGGGTGTCCAACGGGTCTTTGGTTTTCAATGAGTATGCACAATAAAGAATCAAATAGTAGTTTAAGAATCTTACTTGATACTGGATAGAAAAACATCCCATAATTATTATTGTTATTATTGGTTGTTTTCATCGTTGCAATTACGGATGAAAATTCTTTATGTAACGTTTTTTTATCAGGTGATAAAATGAATGAGACTTTTAGTAATATGGATGCTGTGAATTGAATTTGACGCTGCGTTTCAAAGGCCATTTCCTCAGCTAATAGATTTTCGTTGGTGCACGAGTCTGGAACTGCAAATGCAATTGAATGAGCTCCTGAATCTGTTGAATGTTTGCTTCTCGTGATAATATATTGAATTACGTTTGAAATGAAATTTCGTACAGATTCACGTAGCGCATTGTCAGTGGTAGTCGTCGGCATTCTTGATAATGACCAATTTACGAATAGAATCTGTTTACAGCACAATCTACCAGCTGTAGTTTCAGTAATGAATGGAATTGAATTCTTGACATTTTTTTCCGATGGTTGTGGTACTATTTTACCAGCTCGTTCAATAAGACTTTCCTTGAGCCCATAAGATACACAAGGAATAACAATTGTGTCAACCTAGAATGAACATATCAACAATTATTTATAGCTATTTTTAGCGATCGATTTTTTTTCTAGACTTTCATCAATCGTTTTTAAATTCACTAACAAGAATCAGTGAAAAGCAATAGACTTATTGCACAATCATCAAATAGTTGTCTAACCTTTTGCGTAGCTATATCACCGATCAGAACTTCTATTGATCCAGTCTTCAATGTAACATGTTGGTACACCGTTGACCATGAAGACAATAAATCAGACTGTTGAATAATTAACTTTGGAATAGGATAAGCCGTTGATGTATTAGCGATTGCTTTTGGTATTGTACATGTTTCAAGTTTTGTCTCGATATCAAAATTGCAATAGCAATGATTGTTTTGAGCAATTGTTCGAAAAAGTAAGCTTGCTCGTTTTGCGTTATCGTAATAAAAGTCAGTGGCTTTGAATGTAGCTGTTGTCATATGTGATAGTAGAGTGCTTATGTCACATTCAATGTCATCTTTTAAATAAGGTGGTGCATAAAATACATTTTGTCGAATACTGAAATGCACATGATCATTTTTAAATTTCTTCTCAATTGCTTTCAATTCCGGACGACATACATTTAAAAGATAGTTGATCTGAGCAAAAAAGAAATCTATAAATTCAAGATCGTCTTCCTTCATAACAAATTGAGAAGAGTTGTCATATCAATGTGGAAACGGCGGATTTCGGGATTTAGGATTTTGAAAATCCCAAAATCCAAAATGTGAATGATGGAATTTCCATCTGAATTTTTTTCCATGTGTAAACTTCATGATCCTTAGAATATTCTAAAATTTTCAGCGCAAGTGGATGTTTCCTTCTCAAGATAATGAATGCGCAAGAAATACTCGTTTCACGGCACGGTCAGAAAATCCAGTTGTTTTGAAAATTCAATATTTTAAGAAGGAAACATTTGTTCGAGTTGAAACTTTTAGGGTCTTCTATTGACCATGAAACCTATATATGGGAAGAATGCCAGGTCGAAATTACGTCATTCACAGGGGGAAATGCTTTTGAATTTTGGGATTTTCAAAATCCCAAAAATCCGCCTTTTTCCCCTTGTGTCACATACTCATCTAGGGAAAACAATTTTTTTTTCTATCCATAGGTTTACTTTCTTTTGACTTTCATTATGACATGATAGTAAAGATGCTGACTTATAGGAACTCTCTTTCAATCTAATGATTCTTTATTATTATATTCATCGTTGTCAATAGCGCTTAATCGCTGTTAGGCTAATAATATGCCACTATTCATAAAATTCTGTAACATTTATTAATAATGTTTCTATACTAGCAAATACTCTAAGTCAACTCCATGGTAAATATTCGTCGTTGAAGAAGGTTTTATTGATACGTTATGTAAAAAACTTTATAAGCTATCGCTATGAAGTGTCATATTTTAAGCTGTCAACGATTTACGCTCTGTGAATACAGTTATTAATTATTCAAATTTACACTGACGCGAATTAAGATCATATATTGAACAAATCGTAACTTGATCAATTCATCTTCATAAAATGAATCGAAGAATTCAAAGCTCATGTGTTTCAAAAAACTATAGCAGAAGTGTATTTTTGTTTTGTTAAATTTTCGTGAAAAAAAAAGGATAGAAAGTCGAATCGAATCTAACTATAGAAATTCTTCATCTGCTGTCTTTCAAGATTTTCAATTGACGCTTGCAAAATGAATGAACCCTGCGAGATTACTACAGTACAGAATCTCAGTAAACAATCAAATGAGTCACTATTAGAGGAGATCTTGAGAAGAACAGACTCGCTAAAAGGTAATTTTAAGTCCTTTCAAGAACCGATCTTTTAGTTTAGATCGATAGAGAGAGCACTTACTTGTTTTGAGTTCATTTCGCTCAAAGGATATTTTGTTAAGCAATATCTATTCTTAATATCTTGAACTCGTTTGACCATATCATAAACCAATGTAATATTGCCAAATATTCGGATATGCTGTATATTTTTGTTTCCCATCTTGTTTACTATATGATGATGTATAACAGAGAGCATTTCATTTTCTTGATCATAATCATTTATAGCTTTGATTAATTCTTCTTGAAGTCGTAGTGCTTGCTGATTTTGATGTTTCAAAAGTATATTGTCTTCAGCATCTTCCTTAACATTCTTGGGTGTTCTGACTCTCAGCTTTGTATTGTATTTCAACTTTAATACTAGTACTATTCGTAGAATGTTATTTTGAATTACTTGATCGATTCCAAAAGTATTTTCAAAACCATTGAATTTTTTGTCATTAAAAAAGTAAATTTCTAAAACGTTACCATGTGTATCATTGAATTTACATACAGTAAATAGATCGTTTTCATTATCCATTATTGCTTGTATGACTTTGATTGCCCTTGGATTATGAAGCGATGTTCTAACTAAAATAGTATTAACTTGTATTTCAGTATGTCTGATAAAATTTCACTGTTCAAATATCAGAACACTTTATTATCCATTCAAAATTCTCATGCGACAAGTTAAATGGGAAGCTTTGTAAATAATAAATGTGCGACAATATTCTATATGAGTTGTTCCCGCCATACGTTACTTTCAGAAGGTGTTAATGGCTTTACATTGAATAAAGTAAATATCTTTATGATACTTTATTTTTTTTTTGTAGTCGAGTAACGCCCTAAGGTAAAGTGTAGTCTTAACTATATTTACTACTCATACCACCGATTATCTCATAAACACTTGAGTCCCAATACTCAATATTTGCTATACATCTTGTTCACTTGAATATTCCCTTGAATAATGATTAGGATTTCTATACATGTGATTGTATCATAATACAATCTTTTCTCGATATTATAAACGTCTAGTTAAAGTTATCCACATGACACAACTACAAGAGAAATGTGAACTCTTGGCAATTTGTTTCATGCTAACTATGGCACTGTCATAGTCAATTAATAGCATGAGAATTGCTCTATTTCAGTCTTTATCATGACGAGATCTAATGCGTGACTATGACAAGGTTTGAAAGTCAACAAGAACAGTGTAGTCGTACTTATCTATGCTAAAGAAAAACGTCTTTCATATCTTATTTCAAGATTTTTGTCTCGTGAGACGACTAATCAGTGTTCAGTTCTATTGTAAAAATCTTACTTTTGCTTTGATGATATATTTTGGATTTCACGGTTCGGAATAAATATTCAATAACGTTGCAGACATACTTTGCTTCTTGTTGCTTTGATAAGAATTCTATCGTGTAACTAGACAATGGCTGTTCACTTGTTTCTGGTAATTTTTGAATTTGTATTTGAATGGGAAATGATTCTTGTTGTATATAATTGATCAAGTATGAACTGAATTTTGGATTTTTAAAAAAATCAACATGAATAGAATCGTCAATCAAATATTTGTACTGATTATAATCATCTACAGTTGAAACACATTGGCTTTTCAATGGAGTAATTGTCAATGATAATTTGCTCAAATTTTCTTTCTACAGTTCAAGAAGAGAAAAACGAGCATGAATCATTTTTTATTCTTGTGTTATTCCTAAAAAACACTAGTCTCTTATCATCGAAATACGTCGATACTAAATTCTAGAGTAACTTTGATGGAGATTAGGGGTGGCACTTTAACTTTAAATTGGTCGTAAAGTGCAGAGTTTAAAGTTGTTTAAAGTCACGCTTAAATGCTTCTCTTTGGCGTTTTATCTGTTGCAGAGAGTCTCATAAACATGACTTAATACGTCAGCACAGTAAAAAGTATTAAAAAGAAGAGTTTAAAGGCAACTTTAAACAACTTTAAACTTTACGGTTAAAGTAAAGTTGAAGTGCCACCCATAATGGAGATCTGACGGCGACATTTGAGCATGTTTTGATTCAATCTGCATATAACAAGCTCATCGACTGCAAAAACTCAACTGTCAGGGTGTACTATTTTCAATTCAAACTCTCCATATTACATATCGACAGATTTGTGTTTAGTTCTTTTGATACATCGGATGAACAACTAGATTTTTTTGCAGCAGTTTTCAAGAAAAAAAATGAAGCTTCTCCCGAATATAATAAAATTTGCAACCAATCAAATATATTGGTTTAACTCGTTAGCGAAAAGTCGGTAGCATCCACTCGTATAGGCTATAATGAATCTGCCCATTACAATCTTCGATCGTGCAGGTGAAAATTAAGAATGAAATGTACACTAGAAATATAATCAGAAATAGAAAGTGTGAAGAAAGAAAGAGAAGAGCAATGGATAGAAAATATAAAATGAATGAAATTTATATTATGCAGAACTCAATAATGCGAAACTCTCTGATTAGCTATCACAGTATTTCGTTGAATTTTGTACATTCATATATTCGATGCAGAAGAACTTGTAGGATTTAGTACATAAGTCTAGTTAGTAAAAATCAAAATTGATGTCTCTATGTTATTCGTGTATACTGAGACTAATGTTCAATGCCTATAGCATATGTTAGATCCATGGTCAAAAGGCTGATATAATACACGGCGACTTTCAATTGTTCATTTTTCCACAACACATACTTCATCGTCTCTGTTCAATGAATATGAAATCTTTAAATTGACGTCTGTTAAGAATATTATTTTCTATTGAGAAAGTAAGGATATTTTCAACAGATGCACTGTAATTTTCTAGTGAAATTTGCCCAGAATACTTGAACAGCCTCATAGCTTTGGCAGATTTAATTGCTGTATAGGTAATGCTATGAATTAATTGTAGTTTTGTTTTTGAATGCGGATTCACAAAAGTACGAGAATAAATAGGTCAATTGTAAAACTTTCAAATAGGACATTGTGATTCTAATTGTACACTAAATTGCTGCTGATATTTATATGAAAATGATTGCTCGCATCGGTCGTCTTTGAAAAAGTAACTCTATTGTCGTTTCTGGTATATGAATCTTGATATGTAATAGGAATGAATCATCTACGGCTCCTTCGTCTACGCATCAACTAGATATCGCACCGTTGCTAAGTTCGACAAGCCGAACAACAACGTATTTTATTTGTAGGTTTTCGGTGTTAGCATCGCAAAAGCAAACTGAACTACTCACATTGTGTGAAGCATGCGATTGTCTGAAAAAGAATGTATCCGTGATTACTAATATGAAAGTTCATCAATTATATTGTCTACTTTGTTTTTTTTCTGCTTCTCGATTGACCACATATTACTTTCCATTCCCAAAGTGATTCTTGAAATCGACGTATTTCTCCAATCGTAGGTTTCTTAATTGTTTGATCTTCTTCATTCGTTATAATCAATATTTGCGGAACATTATGTATGGTTAACTGCTTCAGAGCATTACCATCGATGTGTCGATCTATTTCAAAAATTTAACAAAGAATAATAATGAACAGCTTAAATGCAAAGTACTAACCCTTGAATGTCGTTATTTGTTTCTCGAAGCCAATTAATCTCAACCATTCGCCAACTTGATCTACACTCCAATGCGCCATTGAGTACGAGGTAATAGAGAAGTTTTTTACTTTATCGTTTGCACTGAAAATTTTCACGCAAATCCATAATACAATTGTCTGTATATTATAACTATAGTTTTATAAGATGGTTTACCGACTACAATTCTGTAACTGAAGGGGTGCAAAGCAGAAAACTAGTCATGTTATCAGCGGTGTTCGTATGAGAATTGTTGTCTCTATGTAATATTAATCGTATTCCTTCGAATTCTGCAGTGGATGTTAGGTTAAGTCTAAAATCATTTCTTAGAAGTTGAAGTGGCACAGATAATTCCCATCTTTAGAAATTCAGAACTATATCTATATTTTCATGTTTCGTACGAATTCGATTGGTTACTATAATGGTTCTCAAAAATGAAGTTCAACTGTATTACGAATTCAAGGAAGCTTGAAGCGAATTAAGAGTTTTTGAACCCAGAAAAACACTAATGCGTAATACTTTGCAAGAAATTAACTAAGATTATCTTGAAATACATCATATCCTTATAGGTGTCTAGTAGTGTGTGACCAATAATGCTCGTATTTCTCAAAATTTCAAAGTCTGAGAAGAACAACATCATCAATTGCAATATTCAAAAAGCAAACCTATAGAAAATGATTATAAACACATTTTCATTTGGAAAGACACCATAGAAAATCTAAGTGTACAACATGCATTATATATGTGACACTCAACTTTGATAATTATTTTTTCAAATATGAGTGATTAGTCCTACTGACAAAAGTTTCACGTACGATAAGAGCTATGATAGAGGCAGTCGGAGGCAAATGCTTGATAGCTTCTAACGGTGAAGAGTGTAAAAATATAGAAGAAAATGTTTAAAAGAATGGAGTAATTTAAAATATCTAAATGGTAACTTTGCACTTCGAAGTAAGTCTTGAATCGATTCTCTTTACTTTGTCTTCAGTACATGCCTAATTGAAACAAGTCCTTTGAACGATTATACTATCTTTAGGTAAGTTTTACCTGTTTTCCGATGGTGGCGTGTTCGTTAGGTGAATCACACAAATTACGTGCTGTTGTGCAAGTCGACGATGTGTTGATACCTTGAAAATATTTTGTTTTATTCTGTTCTGAAATAAACTGCAGAAAGTAAGTGACATTAGGGTGTCTGAAATTGTTTTCTCTGGTTGTTTGTCACCACATAAACACAACAATTTTTTAACCTGCATCTTTTCTCTTAGCTTGCTTCGACATGAATTCACTATGAGTCATATAGGTGAGTCACTCGGTTGCTTATTTTTATGGGGATATATTTCCATGGTTATTATTTTCTCAATATTGCTTAAAAACGATGGGTGATATTAATAGCGTGCGACAAAAGTAATCGAATTTCTTGTTCACAAATTCAAAAACTATTTTTCATATTTTATTGTAGTATCAAAGCGAGCAAAATAGAGTAAGTTTAAGTCATGGTAGTAAAATATCGTCTCCTACCTCTCATTTTTTTACCCTTTTGCCGGCTGTTTACTCAGTTTTCCTTTCGTTAACTTGACTGTCAATTCCAATACGTAGAGAGAATGAATAAATATTTATTGCACAGCGTATATTTAATGACAAAGGATTGAATGAATCATTGTGGCAGATTCATATACTCATCTTTTAAGTTTGCAGTTGTCTGAAATACGAGGTTAGCACAGTTTATGTGTTGAATATTCATGAAAAATTTAATCGTCTTTTGCAGCTCTTATTGATATTAATAATTGTTCTTCAATAAAATTGAAAAAATAATAACCATTGACATCTAGTTTCATCGAGGTAAAAAAATCAGGTGACTAACGTGCATGATTCACAGAGCATTCATGTCGAAGCACGCTACGAGAAAAGATGAAGGTTAAGAATCGTTGCATTTATGTGGTGGCAAACAACGACAGAGAAAAATCGATCATATCTAGTGACACTTCCTTTCTACAGTTTATTTCAGTACAAAACAAAACAAAATATTTTGAAGGCATCAACACGCCGTTGACTTGCACAACAGCACGTAATTCGTGTGATTCACCTAACGAACGCTACAGCATAAGAAAAAAGGTAAAACATATATATAGATACATCTTTCAAGGGACCTGCTTTTAACTTAGACATGTACTAAACACACAGTATAGAGAATAGATTCGAAATGCTAAGTTGTCATATAAATAGTTGTCTCTATATGGTGAAAGTTAGTTCGACTAAATCATTCTTGTCGACGAGAAAAGGTTTGAAAGAAAATTACGTATATATGTGGAATACACCGATGCTGAACTTTCTAATCAACAGAAAATGTTCCGTCCGATTTCATGTTGCTGAACTCGAGAGCTAAGCAGTAAAAATTAATAATTGATAGACTAGTTATCAATATCGCTATGATAACTCATCATAAAAAGAAGAATTGATCAGAAATTTACTCATAGTTACATGAACAATGAGTGTCACAGTGATGCTTCTTGTGAAATAATTTTCAATATTAGCATTTATGTTATTGTTATTGTGAGAAAATTAAAGTAGAGTTCCTATTTTTCAAATTTTTGAACATCATTGAACAATTTATAATACATCGAGGTTGTGCAGGTTTCAAAGACAAAAGATTATCGATAACATTTCCGCTACTGTATTAGTAAAACTCGTCTTTCTTTCCAAACAGCCAGATATGCCGTTAAAATCGAAGCTGTGACTTAAGCTTACCTACTGTTTAGTTTCGTTTAAGAACTATGTAACCGAATATTCATAGTCCTCCTTGTTTAACGACTGCTTGTGTGAGAAAATCATACGCTGTAGTTTAGTTACAATAAAAAACAAAGTCAGAATGTATGGCTAAAGATAGAGCCTACTCTACTTAACGTACAGTCTATATGACTATATAGGTGGAGAGAAGAATGGCCCGTTCACAGACTTTCTGTAAAATTGGAAGATGCACTGATTTTTTGTCTTTGCAGTCACTCAGCAGCTTGAGAAAGTCTAACTTTCTAAATATAGTGATTTTTTTTAGTCCATTGATTGTACCCGTTCAGAAAATTCATTTGTTAATGCTTATCAAAGTTGCAGTTCATAGTTTTGCCGTTGTAATAATTCATGAAAAAATTATTCTAAAACAAAACAAAACAGCGCAACACATTGTAGTAAAGTAGCCATCGCAGTGTCTTTTTTAATGCAATTTAAGCATCTAGTGCCGGATAAAACCTGTTCAGCAAAACTAAAGGATTTATTTCTAATTCTTAGTTCCTCGAAAACACCATTTACTTTATTTACAAATATGGATCATAGAATCAATAGAGAAGAATTGGACGAAGATGTAATTTGTGTTCAGTTAACAAATATCGCCGTGAAATTTTTGAAAAATCCATTGTTCTGTTCCAAGCTACGCCAATATCTGTGCTCAGAACACCGTGTCGACTGTCGAATACCATCTGAATTTCCAATTAATGACGATATTGGAGTGGCATTAGAATTATCAGGTGTCAAAATAGCTGCTCAACTTGCTCATGATCATGTAAAAGCATTATTTCAAATGGTGAAAACTAAAATTTACAATAACGAAAATACAGACAAAAACAGTGAGTTGTTTACTTGAGAAAAAACTCGCATGAGATGTGTGTAACTCAAATATCCAGCAATTCATTTTACTAGTCACATATATGGTTGGATAGAATTTATTGTAGTTCACTTCGTAAGACTTCCATAAGCATTTTAGACTTATTGTGCGAAATAAAGAATGTAATCTAAAAACCTATTGTAGTCTACTGAATAAGCAGTTCTTCAACATAGAACGATTTCTCATTTTACATGGACAAGTTTTGAAAGTTCTGACTAGATGACATGTTTTCTGTATTCTTTCTACTTGATATCTGGATTATGTATATCGTATTAGTGTAAACAAAAACCTTGAATGAATTCATGAACTTGTATTCTCTTTGTAAGAGATTTGCGAGCTGAAACTATTTTGCATTTGAAAAGACTGAATAGAGTATTGCAAAAATTTAAAGTTCGCGAAATTAAGTCTGCTGAAGTTTAAGAACACTTAATTTCAGATTAATTTCATGTAACGTCTTGGTATTTATCGAAATAAAGTTCAACTAATCCATCCGAACGAAAGAAATGTTACTTAGAGATATAATGCAAGATGAAATTGTTAAGAATATCACCACGTTCGATTATACGTATCGCTTAATTTCTGATTTCATTTTATTTTTGTTTCCTAGGAACAACGGAAACTATTAAAACTATCATCAAGGTTCATTATCAAAAGCTAAAGCCATAAAATACTTCATGGTCGTACTGTGAGATGCCAAATAATTAGAGAGTTTAATTGAGCAATAGTTAAGATGATATTGTCAAATCTGCCGTATTGAAAATTTTGCCACGATAGGTCTAGTCGAATCTAAATGTATAACTAGCATTAGTAACGTATTTTTGCTAATGGGATCATCTACAGAACAAAAATCCTATTATAGCATCGATTACAATTAACTATTCGGATCTCCTTTGAAGCGAACGACCAATTTTAGAAAAATATTTTCTCTCATACTATTTATTATTAGTCAATTCCTAAAAAGCACTGCGGGTCATGGTGAAACTATACTAATTTGCATTTAGTGATATATTGGTCGAACAATATTTATTCAGATTCAGCTATTGATACCATTCGGAAAATATTCGATAATCACAATGTATTTACTATTTGGGAAAAGACAGATGTATTATCTGGCTATTACGTCGTACATTATTTTGGTCCAGATCATCCATTTCATGTATCAGAAAGAAGCATTGATCAGATAATCTATAATGAAATAGTCTACGTAAAAGATATGATAGTAAGCAATCTTGACAGTATGCACGCGAATTTTCGAAATGAACTGGATCAATTTATAAATCAAAGAAAACAGGAGCAGCAAAACTTGCAAACTTTGGCCATTATCTATTGCGAATATTGGTTACAAACAGAGTTAAAATTCAGTTTCTTTGGGCAAAAACGTTTGGTAAACAATGCACGGAAACAATTACAGTATCTATTAAACAAACACGAGATGAAAACGATCAACATCGAACTGGATTCTACACAAGTAAGAATAGGATACGCTTTCTTCCCAAGTATTGTATAGAGATAATTAATTCGGTTTTAAATTAAACTTTTACAGAAGTGGCTAATCGAAAATATTAATAAATATGGGTATTTCAGCAATAGAAAGGCATAGTGACGGCTATCAACTTCGTTTTTGAGTATAGTCAAGCTAGCAGATATCATATTTGGTCTTCTTATGACGAGAAAAATCGAAAGCAACCTTCAAACCGACAGTCATTCGTTTTCAAACCGTTAAAAGCGCCATTGGTACATAAATTGGATAACTGTAATCAAATAAAGGTGTGATACTCTAGTTCTAGAGCATATTCTATTGATGACATGGGTACTAGCTATTAGTATAACTTTCGCTCACACTCTCGCCCTTTTTATTATTGATATCGGGAAACTTGAGTATAAGAAATTTAGTTCTTGATCAAGGGTATTTTAATACTATGTTGTACGTTTAAAATGAAACAACAGAGAGCACTTAAATACAAAGAGTTCGTGAGGACTTTCTTGAAATATAGACATATCTTCTTGGAGAATCGATGAGATTTGCTACTTGCACACATGTTGATGTCACGTGGAAACATATGAAAATATCTTTGACAGTTTCCCTTGTTTACTAATTGTTCATATGGAATAAGTCTCATTCTCTACCGTAGGATCGAAGTAGTTCATTTTACCATAGTTATTACTTTGCTCATTTTAGCGAGAATATCTATTGGAGAATTGTATTCTTCAATTGAACAGTATTGAATTGGAACATAGAAATGATAATGTCAAAATCCAAATACGTGAAAATGTATATTATGCACCGCAATATTTGACATCAAAAATTAAAAAGATGATCAACGCGTTGATTTTTCACACAGCAACTATTAGTTTTCAATGCATTGAAAATGCTTGTACGGTGACAACAAGCGAACAGCTGGACCTAGAACAAATCACTCGAAAACATAATTGTCAAATGGATAGAATTGATTTACAGTCTACAAATGAACTCATCCAACTACCTAAGGCTAGGACAATATCTACAATAAAATCGACATCACCATCGATTATTCAAGAATCAAATCAATTTATTACTAAACTGATGACGTTAAATAGAATTGTGACATCGTCTTGCGGAATAGAAATTCATAAAACACAGGATTCAATAGAAAAAAACGTTAGTCCTACTAAAATTCGCTTTTTTTGTATCGCTGACTGTTGTTATTCTAGGCGGATATCACTATTATTTCAGAAATTACTGCAGCTAGTAAAGAGCAAATAGCACTCGATCGTGATAATGTGCATTCTGAAACAAATACTCATAGCAACATACTAGTTGTTCCATGGATGCCTCCTGCAGTCGAATTCGATAGTATTCAGTCGGACAACATTCTTGAAAATTCCATAACAAAATTCATTTCAACTTGCTTAACGCAAATTGCCAGTCTACCTACGAATGACGTCAAAAGAATCGCACTTTCTACGGAAGCATGGGGAAATTATTCAAATAAGAAGCAACTGGCCGAAAAGATGATTTCTGCATTGAGATTTCAACTTGAAACCGAAACATTTTACAATCGTCATTGGACATTTTTATTTTTTTTCAATGAAAAACAATCCGATATGTTTGATTTCTTCACGCAAGCCATTTCATCAATGCAACATGAGACGGGTGTCTATAAGAAATTTTATTGTCCGATATCAAGTACGTACACAATGTGTAAATATCTATCTGAGACAGATGATTCGCATCTCGTATTTAAAAAAACTACCGAAGCAATGGGAGCTTCTAAATTATATACTTGTTTCATTAGTCGATGCAGTCGGCATCACTAAGACTATTTGTCAGTTCATTCAATAAAAAATATAATTTCTACTATCATTAAGTATTCGATAATAGAAAGAACATCTAGCTGAGATATCAATTATGAAATTGCACTCATAGAACTTAAGCAAAATCATATTTATCTAGTTGAGACTACATTCTATGATTTTACCACCAAGAAACTTTGTACCGCCATAAAACTTATTTCTTCTTGGTTTATGTTATTTGAAAATGATTTGTTTTGTTCTAGCGATCACCATAACCTTGAAAACATCACGAAATGTTAATATTAACAAATGTCAAAATGCAATTAATGACTATTTTCGAAAGCACATCATCACAAAAACGGAAGTTAATGATGCATTTAATTCAGAAATTTGGAATCAGCACATGATTAATGTCTTTTATAAATATTGCATAGAAAAATCCGTCTTTCCGAAGATTTATTCTATTGATGAAAAAAATGGAGCACAACGATTAGAGTTGTTGGGTTTAGCAGCTGCTGTTAGTGAAATGAAACAAAGGTATAAACTCATACAGGAAATTACCAAGCAGAAGGCTTCAGTATCAAGTTGTGCACACGAACAAATACAAACAACCAAGTCTCATCAACTAAAACTGGACATTTCATCGAATGGATATAATATTTTAATATTAAGTTCGTCGAAAGATGAAGTATTATCCAATCGTCTTGGTGCTCGCCTCATTGATGAAGGTTATTTAGTTTATGTTTATAATTGTGATGAATCATCGTCGACGATCATGCCGCAATTTGAAAATATGGATTTGATTCTCATCTATTTTAGTCGAAATTGTTTGGAAGATGAGAATTGCATGGCGCACATTAAACTGGCAAAAACTTCTGAGAAGAAAATCATACCGATTATATCGGCACAAAGCTTGGTAGAACAAACCAAGTGTTGGCTCGATTCTGTGACTACAGTAGATTTATATTATGAATTATTTAGAGAAGAAATCCATTTCAAGTTAGATGAAAATTTTGGCTTCGACTATGATAAATTGTTAGTCGAACTGGTAAGATTCGAAAGATTAATTGATGCTTCAACATACAACCTATGATAGAAAGAATTCAATAGTAGAAACACGATGCTTTAGGTTTTCGTACTTCAATTTAAAATACAACATAAACATTTCCTACGAAAAATTATCGAGCGAAATCGTATGGGCGCTATTGTTGTGTGGCCCAATGATGAGAATTCTGCTTCTATATCAGCAGGTTCTATCTGAGAGTTCGATCATTTGATTTGAATAAGATATAGCTTCGTATTGTTTTTTTCTCGTCAGAAAATACTAATTTCGTCTTACTATTGAATATTTTTATATGTGTAGCTTCACTATACAAAACCTGGTATAGTTGGACAAACGTATTCAATGCCAACGATCGATTCAAAGAAAGATCATCAATCCGAAGAAATATCGAATCAACAAAATTTAGAACCACAAATGGCCCCCGAACAAAGACGTCTACGAGAAGAAATCTATGAAGAAACTATTAAAACTATAAGAGATCGGGATGCTATTCCAGCTGATGAAGTAGCTTACTTAATGGAGAGTTTAGCACTCATTATTGAATCCTGCAAAAGTGGTGAATTACTCGATGGTGAAGGTGAGAACAGAGAAGGAGAGTTATCTTATGAAGCAAACACCTTTAAAGGAAAAAATTGTTCTTTGGAACGAACGCTATCAATGACAATCAAAAAGAAGTTATTGAGATATTCGAACACAATAGAAACAAACATTCATCTGATTCATATCAACATAGTTATGAGATCGTTGCGCACGATAAGTTTTTGAAAATAAGAAATTACAAACGGAAAACAACTAATCTTATTTATTCCAAGGGAGTCAGTCCATTGATTTCATAGAACTCAAAGTAATCCATGAAGATTGTTGAACCACTAGACTCATCGGTTCTCTCTTTTTTTTCTATCATTAGAGTGGTCTAAGTCGGTAAATGTCTTGTGAGACTGACTCAGATTCACTCTGAGCGGAAAGTGGAACAACACTTTTGTCCCATTTCGATACCACTCAGCATCTAGGTAAAGCTATGAAATTTATCTGAGAAACTATCAGATGAAATGACTCGAGATAATTTGGGTACTTGAATATTCAATAATGAAAATTTTTCATTAGTAGAGAGAAAGTTTATTGGTCTCGAAACGTATTTATATTAATCGTTTAATGCGCTTTTCATTTTGTTTTAGAACAGAAAGCAAAAACACGACGTAATTTGAACGATCTATGCTTATGCATAAAACGTTGGATGCAGAAAGCATCAAATGGAGTTGTAATTAAAGGTAACATGCCGCCATTTACTCTTACAGGCGATTTCAACGATGCGCCATATCCAATATTACTATTAAACAAACCCTCATGGTGGTCAACCAGTAAAGAATATCTAGACTTTGATCATTCATCACCAAACATTTATTTTCACTATCCACAAACGTACATTGGTTCATGGTTCAGTCAAAACGAAGCGCATGACTATTGTCAGACATTGACTAATAGAGACATTCTAATTCGAAATGAGAGACTGCTACAACGTCACATGCGAGAAAAAGTACCTGAAAATAACGAACATATTCGAGCGATAAAGCCAAGTCATAAGTCGAGAGGAAAAATTTCAAATGTTGTACATGTTTCGAAGTTTACAACTGAATTCAAGGAAGGCCACATTGCGTGGGACATCACTGAAGACGTTCTCATAGTGAAAGAATACGAAAAAAGACGAACGAAAGTCGCAAGCAAAAAAAATAATAGTTATCTCACGGTCTGGGAGCGTTTAGTCGAAAGATCAGTGGAACTGTTATCGGATATAAAAGATGGCAGAATTGATTTAAATTCTGACGTTTTACAAGGCAAAATTGGAAGTGAACTGAGAACAGAAGAAGATATGCAGAAACTTCATGTGTTAGATAATCCGAATAATAAACGTTGGATCATTAAACGACCTCGTCGATGTACACTTGCATTCCTTCAAGCTAAAATACAAAATACAATTGACTTCAACAGATTACGTGAAACATCCGGATATATGTAAAGTACAAAGTGAACATTTTTTCATCGTAGACGCATATAATACACGAAGCAAGATTAAATAAATCATTTTTTAAGAAAGTGAATATTTTCAACTTCACTAACATTCTATATTAGATTGTTCTAAACGCGATGCGTAACTTGGTATAGCCTATAAAAGAGAAAACATCGACTATCGCATTGGTTAACTTTTATGACGTTTTTCATGCTGGAAATAACTACAAAAGATAAGGTATGTCCTTGTTTAACATGAGAAAAACGAAAAGCTACCGTGAAATGAGAGAATAACGTCCGGTTTATCCCTCGGTTAAGTTTGGTAGACATGAGAGATATGATGGATGCTCGGTTCTCTCTATGCTTTTCATAGATTCGATTGAATAAAAGAAAATATGAACATGACCTTTTATGCACATTAGAGTGGGTTCACGCTGTACACAAAATTATAGATACAAGATCTTTGTATACTCTTTCTATCTGTACCAACTACATTTTATAGCATTAGTTTTGAAGAATAGCAAATACCAAATTTTTCAAAGTGATTCTCGTAGGATATTGTATTGTAGATTTCAACAATTTTCTTCTGTTTAAATAAATGGATCTACGATTACAGCAGCCTGTTGCCATTATTCAGCGCCTATGTAAACCTGAAACAAATGTGACGACCGCTAACGTAAACGGAATGCTCGATGACCTTGTCACATGTTTGAATAATGCACAAAACCAACCAGATGGTTTACATACTCTTACCGCCATTTGTTATGAGTTGACATCAATCAAGGCATTAAAATTACTCGATAATGAGCACATAATGCAACATGAATTGTTCAATATTCTTGGACGTACTCTTGAAATGTTACTTACGAAAGCAACATTTATTCCGATGACGAAGCACGATGAACAGTGTTTCTATGAAGCCAGTAATCTGATTGCTAATCTGTGTTTGTACACAAAGAAACCAGCAGCATGTTCCTGCGATGACGCTCATGACGAATTAAACCTGAATTATGAGCAAGCAATCAATGAAATATCATATGCGACACTTTTTCTAACAAACTCATTTCTTAATAAACTCGCGCGAATCTTATCCGACGATTTATCTGCGAATGACTATGAACCGTATCATGTTAAATACAAAGTTATTGGCCGTCTACTTTGTCTTTGTACAGAATTGAATAATATTAATCATAGTGTACTAATTGATCCTGTTGTTCAATGTTTACGCTCAGATTATTATCGCAATGCTTACGAAACTATTGATCTTCGGCAACCGATTATCAATTCGAAGCAGCGATTTTTCATTTACCTATGCCTGCAATTCATTCGTCTTCGCAGCAATGAACGAAACGATGAAGTATCAAATTCGCTATGTGATTCTATTTTAGGATATGGTCAACAAATTTTTGAACAACATTTACCCATAGCATTAGAAAGTGAGGCTATAGTAAGTTCAACAAATGAAAAAAAGAAAATTTTCAAGAGCGAACCAGGTGCAAAATTACAAGCACTAGGTTGGCATATTGAATTATTGAATCATATTGCTTTAACACCAACAGCAAGGATTCATTTTCTAGCAGGTATGCTTGTGTTTTCTTATTCAACAGACTTAATTGCTGCCTATGAAATCACGAGTACAAAGAGGTTAGGATACTTCCAATGCACCTCCTGATATGGATTCTTCATTACTAGCCGCGGTTGAAAAGAGCATAAATTAACACTTACTGATCACCTTATGGCTATCAATACACATTACATCGAAATTCTATTGCCTAATACAAAAAGAATCAGAAACTAATCCAGCGTAGCACTGTACTTTCTTCATAAAAATAGTTGAATACAGAAAGGCATCCGTGAAAGTCTCTACTTCAGCGAGAACTCGTTGCAATATAGAAGAAATATTTCGTAGGCAAAGCCTACAGATTATGTCCGCATACCGTATTCGTAATTCTGTTTTGCCTCATGTTTATCTTAAATCAGATAGGATTCTAATCATTTCATTAAAACTCTATGACGCTGCCGTTTTAGGTACTCATCAAATAATAATTGATCACATGATTAACATAATTCGCACAGAATCATTGATTGCAAGTGTACATGAAAATGATGAATTGTTTCATTCGGATGTCCATCTTGTGTCATGCGCAATAACATTATTGTATAATTTGACATTCGAAAACAAAATTTTGCTTCTACTGAAAGAAAAAAACCTTGCAGAATTTTGTACGAAATTGCACACAGCAAAACAGAGAACAATACAATTCGCATCGCAAACGTTGTCCATTCTATTGAATCAAAATAATATTGACGCAATAAAATATCCGTTGATTATGGCACAAAATTATTTGTTCTACATAGAAAATACACTGCATGAGCGATCACTAGTATACAATGGTGTGAAATTAAACGGTGCATTGACTTATCTCGAACGTATGAGCTTTTATATAGTTTTTTAGTAGACGAATAAATATTTTATTTTTGCTCTAGTGATGGCTCAAAATGATTTGATTAAAAACGAAATCGGCCATGACGATGACGGTATATCCTTGCTTGTAAAATGTGCACTGGATCAACACCTGGACTTTGAAACAATCCAATGTCCGGCCTTGCGAATTATTGAAGCAGTTTCGTTTGGTGATGAGATAACTTGTAAAAAGATGAGCGATGATAATAAATTAATGGATTATATCAAATATTTATCTAATGTAGACGATTCAAGTTTAGGACCAACAGCGAATCGTATTCGATGGAAAGTAGAGGACGAGAACAAATTTATTTCAGATAAAATCAAAAAGGAGTTAACACCCGCTACATTAACAAATAGTTATGATGCGAACAATTCAAATAATCACCAGATTAGTTTCAACTACAATTGGGATTTACCCAGTAGCAAAACATCGGACATGTTCGATTTGATCATCAGCTATCATCATAGTGATAAAGATATTTGCAGTCAAATTTATGAACGATTAACAGCATCCTGCTTCTATCGGATTTCATTTGATAGAGAACGTGTTCATGAAATTCTACCGGATGCGATGGCTGAAGCTATTGAAAAGTCATCTATAGTTCTAATGTGTTTTTCCAGTAAATATCAGCAATCCTATGCATGTCGAATGGCAGCTGAATATGCCGAAAAACGGCAGCGACCAATTATTCCAATGAACTTAGACGAATTATATTGTCCAACTGGATGGTTAAACAATATAGTAGCTAGTAAACAATGTATTAATATCGTGAAATATAATCTTAACTCTTCTTATGCGAACTTGATTCAACAAATCGATAACATTAAAAAGCAAATCAACATAAAATAGGCGACACGTTTTGCGAAAAAAATTTCCATGATAATGGAAGTTGCTTTCATTTTATGTATATTTTAATAAACGCACTGTACTGACGTAGAGAGAATAATTCAATAAGAGTATTGAATAAATTTGAATCGAACATTTCATAGAACAACAAGATGTTACTTTGGTTCGTCTGTCAAATAACAGTCAAGTCATGAATCTCTGGAATTCGACTTAAAAAATACTCAGATTGTTTTGAATGTTTGTGGAAAATTAAGAAATCACAAACAAAGCTTTTTATCAAAGCTATATACTGAAATTCATACATAAACTTTTGAAAACTAGTCAAAAACTAATCTGTATTCGGAGAAAGCCTATTGAAGTTCATTTAGTTCGGCGAGTTTAATATTCTATTCGTTTCTCTTTAAAAGAGCAGTGAAAAAAATTGAATTTTTTAAAATATAATGCAAAACTTCTCCAACAATGTGATATGGTTGATCCCAAAAACTTTGTTTTTCTAAAATAAAATCAGAACATCTTGTACTGCCGATTGTCTCGAGCGAATACTTTGTTACGGTCACTCAACGATAGCTTTGTAAGCGCTTGAAAACGGCGAATTAAATTTAATATTGCCTTAAACTACCAGCAAATAAAATCAAAATGAAAGAAAAGAAGCTAAAAAACGTTGAACACAATGCAGTGTTTCTTGATGAGGTCGTTTACCTGCATTTTGGTCAGTTTTGCTACCTCCAAGATGAGGGAGGCTATGGGTGATTTTGTTTGACTGGTATTGTTAGCCAATGGTGTTTTCTTTTGACCTGGATTATGTCCATTTTTTTCCATATTAACCTTCTTCTTCTTGCTTGCACCACCTTCTTTTTTTGGAGGCATTTTTTCACCAAAAAAACAGAAATTTTTCAGAAAAAAAAATTCTGGGAACGATGAGACGAAGGTTTTTTGCGGAAAAACCAGGAGACTTAACGACGAAAAACTTCGACGAGAATTTCGGAAATCAAACGAGAAGAAACTAGTTAGCGAATAGAAAATTCGACCGATCACTTGCTTGTTAGCGAGGGGAATAAACCGAGTAGGTTAAATAAAAGTTTTCTATTAAAAAGACTTCATCAACGTTTTTCGACTGTTGATTCATAATGAGAAAAGTCTGTATTTTATGAATGAATTTTGTATTTTTTCACTGGTATTCGAAAGAAAGAAAGTATCACCAAAAATCTTTTAGAGTTGCTGAGAAATATAAAAATAAGTTCTCTTGAATATTTCCAACAATAAAATTGCACTTCAATCATGAAGAAAGTAATTTGAATGAATAAACAATAAGATCATGCTACAACATGAAAAATAATTTTTCTTCAAGAAGCATATTGATGTTAGGAGATGAATATGAATAATACGTTATTAGTTCTCTATTCATTATTACTTTATTTTACAACCAGTTAATAATCAACCAATCAATGAAAGTAAAATGACTTTATTAAAAACTCATGATGTACATTGTATTTAACATGAAAATAAATGCTTTGATATCGGTACTGTTGGATGGTTCTTCAATCAATACATAGTTGAAAATCCTTGAAAAAGCCGATGGTCAATAACTAGCAGTAATAACAAAGGAAAAATCAATTTAAAACGATATAAATATTTTATTTTTCTGAATTCATCAATACGCGGTCAATTTTTTCCTCCTGATTTTATTGAATTAGTATTACCGTCGAACAATAATTACTATTGGTACTCGATATTTACAAATCGTACTGATAGTAAAATAAAACTAGTCGGATGTACAATAACTTGTGAAACAGTTCCACACGTTCAAAGTTATTTATTAGTTACTGATTTCATTGGCTTATCATTATTATTAAAACCCGGCAGTTGGGGTGCAAGAAGGAACACTTGTTTGTTATCCAACTAAAGATCATGTCTCGATCTATCGTGAATTACCATCATCAAATCGAATATTAAAATCGGGTTATATGATTGATTCCCTTTTAACAACATATCAGAAAATAAATTTCGCTGATCGACGTAATTGGTTTTGTAATTCAAATAAAAATCCATATAAAGGCAACGCTTTCGAAGTTACATAATTGGAGCCATATGAAGCTGTTTTGGTTAAATATAATGATTTGGGATTTTTAAAAGATGCTAGAGATAAAGCCGAACTATGTCAGAAATGGATCAATGATATCAAACAAACAAAAAAAAGAATTTTAAACAATTAGCGAATTTCGCTTTGATCAATTTTTATTTTAGTTATAGAATCATAAATTAATAATGATTTTTATTCAAGTTTGATAATAATTGTAATAAGTTGGTTACTTTTTCAATAGAGAAAATCAAATAGAATTTCCTACGATACTAACCAATAAGTGATGTTATAGAATGATACTGAAAAGAATATTCATTTCACTTTGATTTTCTACTCAGTTGTTCGCTGAATTTTGAATTTGTATTTTAACATTTACTTTCCTCTCTTGAGAAGAGTAGTTACAGTTACAGTTATACTGAAGTAGGAGATATAAATGAAAAAAAATCGACTCCAGGAGCTTACTTCAGTATCATATAAGAATCAAAATCGTATAATCGAGCTCCGTATTAGTAGGTCAAATCTGTTTTTTCACTTACTGAAAAAAGAACTTGAGTTTTACAATTCTACTTGACTCTTTCTTCTCTAATATTTATCTCCTGGTATTGGAAAAATACCAAAAAAAAAAGAAGTAACATAGCCATTCAATATCTACAGAAGGCATCGAAGAAAAGAACTTAGAAATACGGGGAAAACTATTTTAATAAACTTTCTCTCAATAGACTTGAATTATGTAGTATTTTGAAGTTTTTTCAATGCTTTCAGTGTATCGAAACATGTCATAAATCACTTTTTATTTAACAGCCATGTTGATATTCAACTGAATAACGATAAAGTCTTTGTTCATGTTGCTCTTTATAGTGTTATTTACGATCAAAAACTAGCGATGATAATATTTTTTGATTAGACAATATTCATTGCAAAAAAACCGCACGTTAACTAATTTTAAAGAAACAAATACTGGATAGTAACTGAATAAATTCAATTGCTATTGAACACATGTTAGTGGACAGATGGTGAGACGTTCAAGTGTTTGTCGTTGAAAGTATCACGATTTAGTCATATCATTTGATATAACTATTCATGAACGGAATCGTGGTATAGTGGCTGATAGGAAAGTAGATGACTGTGAAAGCTTTACTAGTTACAAATAAACCTATTGCGATGGTTTGTATGTGTGTAATGTTGCTTATCATTTTACCAACAACGATTTTAATCACGTGCGTATACACCCTCGTGTGCGTCTTGTCCCAAGAGTTATCTCACACTGTTATATCAAAATAGTTAGTTCTCTTTTTCTTCGTAATTATATATAAACATGAGATCGAACTAAATTTCACATAGGAACATTTTCGACAGCGTGATTAATTAATTTAATGTATTATGTTAAAATAAGATAAATCATGAGTTCAAAAGTTAAGTGAATGTTGTTCGCCTATCAATATATGTACAATTTCTGCAAAATAAAACGATGAACAGCGACATTGAAATTGATTGTAACGATGCATGCTTTTTCTCTTACTTTTTTTTCATCTTTTCTAGCAAGTAGCATAGAAGAAACTTGCATCACAAGTAACAATACTTGATTAACCCGACCCATAGTAGCCCGAGCTCGGATTGTTTGGAGGAAAGCCGCTAAAGTTTGCAGCACTTCCTGCATAGTTACCTACTCGAATGATATAACTGGCTGTTTTCTTTTTAATTAAATAGTAAGATATTTACCAGGATATTGATTTCCAAACGTATCACCTCGAAAATTAGCATCTAAACAACGAAATTCTTTATGTGTTCAAAATGTTATCTTTTTTACCAGTATAAGGTTGACCATATTGGGTGTTACTCCACTGGAGCTGATTTTGTGGATTTATTTGATTATTGTTCCACGTCTCCTGGCCAAATGCATTGTTAACCGAGTTGGTTTGATTCATATTACTATTATTCCAATGTTGTTGATCGGGTGCCCCTAATTGATAATTGTTGTGACTCACTTGCTGAAACTGGTTGGGTTGCCAACTTTGTTGGTTTACTTGATCATACTGCCCTCCAGTGAATTGACTGTTATTGGAATTATACTGTTGATTGAACTGATTCTGATCCCACAGTTGCGCAAGTGTATTGTTTTCGCCATAGTTCTGATGAGCAGAATTATTATCCCATGATTGTTGACTTGGCTGATTAAGTTGGTTAACATTCCAATTTTGCTGACTGTACTGATTGTTTACCCAGTTTTTCTGATCAAGCTGATTAGCACCTGAATTTAACTGACAGCACGAATTATCACCAAGATTTGATTGAAACCCTGAGAAAACTTACACAAAAGAAGATCTCTCATAATAGACAAGTTTAGAAAAACTATTCGTTTTCGAATATTATCCTGGTTCCGAAATCATGAGAATGAACTAACCTCCTCCAGGATATTGCTGTTGATAATTATCATAAGGATTATTTGTGTTCATCGAATAGCTATTTCCTGTGAACAAAGAATCTATGAAAATTCTATACACTCTGTAAAAGTCAGGTTCGTACCAGATGCATTTGTAGCAGCGTTATTGTCATCTTCGTTTACATCCTGTATTTCTACATTATTGTCAGTATCATCATAACCATTATTGTACGTAAGAATATTCTGATAGTTGACTGTATCATTCCTATCCCAATATTCTTCACCGAAGTTAGCGTTAGTCAATTTTCGAATTGCCCACACATCAAAACAATGTTCTGGATCTGTCATATATTCATATGGAATATAACAGTATCCATTTTCACCCTAAAAATACCATACAAAGAAAAACGATTGTTTACCCTAAGAACCAATTAGATGAAACATCGAATTTTTATCTAGATACTTCTATTAATTTAATTAACATTGACTAGCTTCATTTTAAAGCTCTAATCCTAAATTAGAAGATCTTCGAATGAACTCATAATATTGCTCAATATTAAAATTTAAATGTGGACTTTCTTCAAAGGCATTAATAGAGCGACCAAAAATTAATAAAGTAATGAAATGCGAAATGTCATTCTTTTAAGATTGGAAACATACCCTCTAATCTAGTCTTATGGATTTCTAGAGAAATTCTACGCAAATGTTACTTTTTAAATCTCGATTTAAATACTGTTGGAATCTTCTCAGTCTCATATGACAATTATTTTATTATTGACGCAAATCTTATGTAAATCGGTGGTTTCCAGTTCAGAGGGTATTGAAATGTTTGAACTAAATATTTTTTCATCAAAAGTACATCTGGAAGTTCCAACTGAAGAAATTCGTGCAAAATCACGTCACTGTCCTAATACACTTATTCCTTCGATGATTGCAATATAATCTTCTATATGACCCAGAAATATGTACACTAATAATCGAAAACATATATTACTCATCAAAAAGAGATTTGAATTGATAAAACTTCAAAAATTATTTTAATCTCAGCTGATGTAGTCATAAGATTATATGGAAAATAATTTTCTCGTCACTTCTTTGAATCCTTAATAACACAAGTTATACTACATAAATATCCAAGTAAATCAACTCTATGCTTACCCATTTTTCTCCCCATGAATTTCGAACAATAAAAACTTTCGATCGATCGCTGTAGCCAACTGCCAAAAGCGCATGACTAAAAAGTGTTCAGACAAGAAAAATATTATGATCAACTTTTTCTTATGTATATGAAAACGACTACAAGCCGTGTGTCTTTCGATTTTTCGCCGATACATCAGGCATCGGTACTAAACCTGTTTTCATTGCATTATCAAAAGATGAATAGAGTCTTAAACCAAATGCAAATGGATATCCTTGTGCCAAGCATGATTTCATTTCAAATAAATTAATATCAACTTCGAATGCTTCTGAAATCGTATGATTTTTGGCTTCTTGATAGGCCTGATCATTCGGACGAGTATTCACTTTTGAAACATTGTATGCCCAGATAGATTCGAGGCAAGTACCGAATTCTTCGAGTGCCTCAATAGCACTGGCCATGGAACAACCAGAATCAGTGACAGAACCAAACTTTTTGTTTTTTGCTCGAGCATTATAATAGATAAACAATCGACTGACATCAGTATTTCGTCCATTCTCTTTTTTTGTCAAATATTCATATGCTCCTAGATTTTCATAAATGACAAAGTTCAATGAAAAACCGTGCATCTTTATTCTCACCTGCTAGAGCATTAGCCGCACTGAAAACAAAACAGCATAAAAATAAATATACGTAGATTGAATATATTGTCGAAATAGTTACCAACTGCCGATCTGCGATTGATCTTCGACTGCAGTCATGTCTTTTCGAAGATCAACCTTAGGAGGAAGTTCTTTTTGAGTGTAAACTATGTTATCACGGAAGGCTCGACATAGGTTACTCTTTGTTGGTAAACGATTCGATCGTATAATACCGTTTAAACGATGCTTTTGAGCATTGACTTTGTTGATCAAGTAAGTATTTATTGTCATTATTTAGGATAAATACAATGTTGCTGTTTTATAAACTCAATAAATTCGTGTCGTACTTCGTTCTTTTATAATATCCATTACTCAGATTTTATTGTATGAGATTTTATTGTAGGAGATTTTATGGTAGGAGATTTTATTGTAGGAGATTTTATGGTAGGAGATTTCATTGTAGGAGATTTTATTTTTGCCGTTTCTGCCTGCGTATTCTTTTTTATCGACACATGCTGTTTGTTATTGTTTTGTGAAACACGATTTGAAAGGAGTGTTGAAGTATATAGTGTAGAAATTTGGACCCATCCCCCGCCGCCCCCCCCCCCCACACAGACCGGGACAGAGAAATTAATTAATTTCTCTGTTCCGGTCTATGATGGTTTTTGAGATCTCTGTCGCTATCTGCGATGTTTTTTAAGGCTCTGAAATGGGTAATTGTCTGTGATGGCTTCTGCGGTCTCTGTCACGGTCTGTGATGGTCTCTAGAGACTTTAAACACCATAATAAAGATACAGACCGTGACGGGGAAGCTCCGCAGACCATCACAGGCCGTGGTAGACGGATTCCAGTAAACGAGCTTTATCGTGTTTCACATTTTAATCCCACAGGGATTGCGCTAACAGCTTTTTATACAACAAAACAAAGAGAAATTTGTACTGAATCATTCCGACCTTTCTTCTGTTACTGCCTCTTGCCGTTCTCTTTGCTGCATGTTCTCAGTAAATAAGCACCAATAAACATAAGAATAGAACAGGCTCATCACTCAAAAGATGCTAGCTACGCCACTGGTTCCCTCGTAAGTCATGAATTTGAAAATTTGCTACGTTCATTAAGACCATTACGAAAAAAAGATTTGAATAGTATTCGATTTCATTTACATTTTTATATTTCACAAAGTAGATTTAGTCATACTGCGGAGCTATTCAAAGTTTTTTGCTTCTACACATAGATTGGTTGCGATGTATTATCGTTAGTGAAGCAAGTCTATCGTTGTTCACTTAATATACATGCTCGTTCAATGGAGAGAAAAAAGCTACTAAAGAATCGTGAATAAACTTTAATACATTAGTTATCAATTTTTCATTGTTCTTTTCTCCATTTGTATGTGTGTCGTGCGATTATTTTCTCATTAGTGATGCCACATTAGAGACCAAGTTACATATTTTCCCATTATTATATTTGTGGTCGAGTCGAAAATATACTTGATAAATAAGTTTCCGCTTTCAACTTATCTCGAAACTCACACAGAAACCGTCTAACTGCTACTATTTCATGGTTCTCAAGACAAGCGTATACTGTTTGTACATTAGTTAACAGTGAACTAGACTTTTGAATTCCCTGGGACTCGTCATATGT